AAATGGTAAAAAGCACATGTGGGAAGATGGGTCCTAAAAGATATATTATTGGGTATTGATGTAATGGGTGGAGGTGTGTTTAGATATGTTATTGAGCTGAAATGTAAATATGACAAGAATGTGATCATAATGAGGTGTTCATGTAGTACTCAACTTAAAACTTAAGTATGGAAGGCCCTCTATGTCAAAAAACTACATTTGGTACCTAGTAAAGATAAATAAAAATAGATTTTTAAGTTATAAGTAAGTGAACATGAATTACTGGTTATGTGTGTAAAGTAAAGATGGTAGGTTGTTTATGTGTGTGGGCAAGTATGCCAGACTGAAAGAAAATTGATGGCTGAAAGATGGTTAGGTGTGGTATTGTTCCTACATTGCTCGAGTTATAACTCAAGAAAACAAAAGGCCCTATATGTTAAAAGGAACATTTGGTACCTAAGAAATATAAAATTAAAAGGGTGAGTTATAAGTTAGAGTGTAGGTAGGTGAAAAGTTAACAGGCTTATGGAGTGTATTGTGACAATATGTGGAAATGTAAGAGTAATTGTGTTTAAGGTGGATCTGTCAAATTTACTAAAGATGTGTGATGTTTAAATGTTATTGTGAAGATGAATGGGAAAACTACAAAAGACTGAAGACCACAGAGACCCGAAAACCAAACCCTGCGGGAAATTGGATGAGTGAAAAGAAGTTATAAATGATAAAGAAAAACGCAGTTTGAAAAGGTGAAGATATGTGATTGAGTGGGTGATGGTGTATATTAATGAAAATTGTTTTTGGAGAGAAAGTGGCATGAACTGCTCTGAAATTATTTTGTTGGGAAGGAGCATGGAGAATATTGGGTATTAGGTCAGATTTGACGTTTGGATGCCTAGACAGAAGTGAGGAAAGAAGAGAAAGAAGTGAGGAGTTGGATATATTGAACTAAGTTTGAGGGGGCTAGGGATGATTAGTAGGTGATAAGAGAAGGATGAGAATTTGAATAATAATGAAGAAGTAAGTTTGATAATGAGTTATGAGAATAATTGACGGTGGAGCGGAAGAAAGTCTCGATTAAATGAAACATGGCGATATTCTCCATGCTCCTTCCCAACAAAATAATTTCAGAGCAGTTCATGCCACTTTCTCTCCAAAAACAATTTTCATTAATATACACATCACCCACTCAATCACATATCTTCACCTTTTCATACTGCGTTTTTCTTTATCATTTATAACTTCTTTTCACTCATCCAATTTCCCTCAGGGTTTGGTTTTCGGGTCTCTGTGGTCTTCAGTCTTTTGTAGTTTTCCCATTCATCTTCACAATAACATTTAAACATCACACATCTTTAGTAAATTTGACAGATCCACCTTAAACACAATTACTCTTACATTTACAATACTCAATAATATATCTTTTGGGACCCATCTTCCCACATGTGCTTTTTTACCATTTTCTAGGTACCAAATGTCTCACAACATACAGGGTCTTTTGACAAAATCTATAGCTTAAAATAAATATATCCTTACACATGTATAGTTGGTTGCCTATCAATCCTACAAAATTTCACAAATTCTAGTTGACCTAGTTGGCATTTTTGTATACCTTTTAAAAAGGATTTTAACAAAATTTTTTTGTGATATATGGTATACAGCCAGCTACAGGAACTTAGTTTCCTCGTGGAATTTAATAACTTGCAACTTCAACTTCGAAAGCGCATAGTTAAATGCTACATTTGGTCAGTCCTCTTATACGGTGTCGAAGCATGGACATTAAAAATATCCACCATTAATCGTCTGGAGGCCTTTGAAATGTGGCTGCACAGACGTTTACTAAAAATTCCATGGACCGCTATGCTGACAAATGTGGCAGTCCTTGAGAGAGCAAATGCTGCTCGCGAGCTGCTTGATAACATCAAATGTAGAAAGATGGCCTATTTTGGACACGTAGTAAGGGGAGACCGATATAATATTCTTCACCTTATTATGATGGGTAAAATCGAAGGACGCAGAGGAATTGGTAGAAAGCAGGTCTCTTGGTTGAAGAATATCAGGGAGTGGACAGGAATAAAGAAAGCTGAGCAACTATTTAGAATAGCTCGAGACAGAGACAGTTTCGCCATGTTAATCGCCAACGTCAAGGGGACTTGATAGGGCACGTTAAGAAGAAGAATGTTCTTGCAATGACATCTGGTCATCAAAATGCATCAACGACAAAAGATTAACAGATTTACTCTTTTTTTGACTATATGAAGCTTTGACTATATGAAGCTAAGGTCATATTCTTCTGAAACCCAAAAATTCAACATAGGGCTTCTTTACTTTTATTTGGTAGAAATTCAACTGAAATAAAAGTTTTGTTCTATCGTAATGTTCCAATTAGTGTTAGTTTACGTTTGAATAATTCAGTCGTTAAATGGTAGTCAGTAAAAAATTATCCGTAGTTACACTTCGCCCAGAATTCTGAACATCTTTTATTAGTCGTAAAACCACATTTTTGCCCTGATGTACATCACGGGGCTGATTTTCTGATTTTCCTGTATACCCTTCTGCGCAATACATATATGCAGTTTTGACATCAGATAAAACCATAATTTGATTTCATATTTCCCACGTGGTTTTGTTGTGATATACTGTTTGAAGGGACACTTACATCTAAATGGTACAAGTTGTTCGTAGACAGTGAGGCTTTCATATAAAACAAACATTTTGGGAAGTTTTGCTACAAATATATCAAAAAACTTCTAATTAGAGTTGGCGTGGCTCCGTCGAATAGGTCTATCCTCTTTATTATCAAATCGCAAAAAACGGCTAATGTTACAAAATCGTTTCAGAGACGTAGTAGCTCTAAAAATGGGCCTACCATCAGAATTGATCCAAAGTTCCTACAGAGATTCTCCGGCATCTTTATGAACACTAGCCAGAAGAAGTAAACCTCGTATAAAAATGTAAAATTTCAAGTTAAGTTATTTTATAACTGTAATGAAAGTATTTACCTATAAAAAAGCTTCTAAGTCTTCCAGTGATATTTCTTTTACAGTTAAAATTTTTTCATTACATATGCGACCAGGTTCTCTCTTAGTTTGCACTAAGAGTAAATTGAGCATTTCCTCAGAAAAAACAATATCATTGAAGATATAGGTTCATCGGTAATTCCTTGAATGGCATATCTGGTGGGACCTGGCACAGGATTTATTATATTGATGTATCTAAACAATATACAACGCAATTAGTAAAACCCACAAATTTAGTAAGAAAATATGTGTAGCACTTGAGCCACCACTTACCATACACGTGACTGAGGTGGTGGATATTTGTTCCAAATCACCAACCGTAGATACATGATATTCTTCAGAAAATTCTTCATCTACTTACTTTTCATCACCAATGACGGTTTCTAAATTGGTAGATTCATCTTCATCATTGAGTCTTCTTCAAAGATTTTTCGTAATGCCTCTTCCGTGATTTCTCTCCTGGAGCTCATTTTCAGCAAGCGCTTATTATTCTGTTTTTCACAAATAATTGTACACCACACTCTCAACTCTAAACTTCAAACGATTAAGTCTGGTAAAATACTAAAGATATTTGAAAAACGCTTCCTAAAATAGAACCCATAAAAGCTAATCACCCTTTTCAGGAAAATAACAAAACAAACATCAAGTACATTTGGACACACTTCTGGGTAGAGTCCGACAAACTTAATTTTGGGAATGTGACGTAGTGGTTCGCGCAGATGGGTGGACCGTTTCTACCAGTGGCGGACGGAAACGGTCAACTTTAAAATAAATTTTTATAAGTATATTCAATTAAAGTGAGAATGAATTTGTTATTTTTATTTTTATACTTTTCAATATTTATGAAGTTTATAGTCAGGCATTCGATAAAATAATAAGTAAACTATTAGGAGTACTTTAATAAATAGCAATGTCCTCAATACTTACAATTTATTAAAAACGAAGGGTTTCAACAACACAAGACAATAAGTAATTTATTTTAACTAATTATAATGTATTTATTTTCTAAACAGTAATGATTGTAAAGACTTCTATGATTATATAAATAAATATATAATTTATATGCTGTAACATGATTGTAAATATAAATATAACATTTATTTGGGTTAGAGGCCTTGTAGGTATACCAGGGAATGAAAAAGGTGATCATCATCATGAAAGGAAATATCATTGACAATACTTACGTCAATTTCCTTAAAGGTATTAACAGGTTTTAGGTAGCTTCGAAATATGCTTCATCTTGTTCGATAAATGTAGTAACATTATATAAATTATTGACTTTGCTTGACTGTTTAGTCCCAGCCCTTTTGTTCCTATCTTTTTAGAAGTCATATTGTTAAATAAATATTATTAATAACTAAACTTAACACACTATAAATACACTAAATTACTTAATAATTCACTAATTACTTCTACCAATATGATACTAAGCACTAATCTAAAATAAAATAATAAAATATCCAACACGATCAAATCAACAAGTCAAACACTCTCTGCGATACACAACTACGACACTGGCAAACAGCAAACTGGCCGTTTCTATGGTAACACTAGTAAACAAGAACCACCGCGCATCGTCGATTTATGAGTCACATTCCCAAACTTAACTTTGTCGTAGTCTACAGGTGGACCCATAAACAACATATGTACTTCTTTCATTTCAAAGAAAATCAAACTGATATTTCAAAACGCAAATACGTTAAATTGTATATAAACCTTATCTTAAGGATATCATGAAACATTATGTCTCAAATCTAGGATATAGTAAATATATAAACATTTAAATTTTACTATTGGGTCCAGTCGTACACAGAGACAATACAAAGGTTAAGTGTTATATGGTTAAAATAATAATTGTAAGTTGAAAAAAAATGTTTAATAACAAACTAATTAATTTAATAACAAAATCTTAGTCTTTGCTAATTAATTTGTTAAATGTAAACAAATACACGTTCAAAAAACTATTTCGTGTCAATTCGTATTTTATTTTCTTTTTTTTTGTAGATAAAGCCAACTTTGAGGAAGCTGTTGTAGCTACTGGATTTGGAAAGTTTAACATATACTTGTTAATACTACTAATTCCATCTTCATTTGCACAAGCATCTGAACAGATGGGATTGTCTTATGCGCTACCAATAGCAGAATGTGATCTTAGTTTGACTCTGGAACGAAAGGGACTTCTAACCGCGGTCTCTTTTGGAGGTAAATCAATGTGTGAAGTAAATCATAACTTTTTATAAACGTTTCTGTGTTTTTGTCATGAATTATCAAATAATTAAAGTAACACACCTCAGATAATGATTACAAAATTAAATATTTAATAGAAAATGTATATTTCAAGCAATAATCTACAGTTTTACAACTGTGTTCAATATAACACTTGTATATTGGTTATCCTAAGTGAATAACCTATTATCTTATTACTTTATCACCTTTGAAGATTTGTGTATATAAATATGTATCAACAAATGGGAAGTGCCTGGAAATCTACGGCCACTTATCTATTCCCACAGTGCCTTACAGAGGGATTTCGACCAGTCCATGTAAAGTTTGCCTTGCCTACGTAGAATAGGCAAGGAATGCGAGATTATTAATACCATCAAAGAGCGCAAACTAGAATATCTTGGCCATGTTATAAGGAATGAACAGGGATACGGCTTGTTGCAACTCATTCTTCAGGGCAAGGTATTTGGAAAAAGAGGACCAGGGAGAACAAAAATATCTTGGCTTCAAAACCTAAAAAGTGGTTTAATACATCGACAACCGCACTATTCAGAATAGCAGCATGCAAAGTTAGGATAGCCATGTTGATCGCCAACATCCGGAACGGATGGGCACCGTAAGAAGAAGAAGATGTAAAGTTTCCTACGCATAATGTTCCCTCTTTGGTAGAATATTGGTATTTTTCACATGATGAATGAAATAAAAACACATTTTAAAGGGTGGAAAATGTCCAGCAGTTCGAAGTCACACAGTCTCAGTTTCAAGAATAGGATCAGGGCCCCGACAACTGACTCCCAGGGTACAAAACACCTTATGTGGGAGCCGAAACCAGCTTAGCCATGAATTGAAAATTTCCCATATTTATATGTTTATAAATTTATTAATAACATATGTATAAACAAATAATACAATTACATTTTTACAAGAAAAATAAAGTTAGCAAAGTTTATAAAAGCAAGTCCCCAAAAAGTCTGTAATAATTTGTACATGAGACACAACACAGCACGGCAGCTTTCGGTGGTCAGCTTCTTCTTCTGCGTCTTAGCGTCTTCTATCGAAGCACCTTCGTCTTCGACGACTTCGTACTCCTCTAGATCATCAGGAGCCCATAATCATTTGCCAGCCGGTTTTCTCAGTAGGGGTATGCCTGCGCCTACATGGTGTTCGTACCACATGCAGTAGGGCAAGGGCTACTCTGCGGGTCTCAGTAGCTTCTAGGACTCGTGGCTTCGGGGACTTCTCGATTGCTGAAACCGCTGACACTGGACAGTATTAGGAATTGCAGAATAGGTCGACGATATAGTTAGTTGCAGGTGTGGAGCTTGTAGCGTAGCTCAGTGAGAACCTGAGTCGTAAGCTCGTGTTGTTCGAGCCCCACGTTGGGCGCCATATCACCAAATGGGACCAAAGCAGACAACCACGACCCCTTACCCATTCCCTCGGTCCCTTACAGAGAGAATTCGACCAGTCTACTTCGAAGTGGACTTTGCGTATGTTCCATCTTTGCTGGATAATAATAAGGTATTTTTAACATAATGAATGAAATAGAAATTGTTACAGGCATCAGGAGCAGAGCCCCGACAACGGACTCCCAGGGTACAGGAGACCCTATATAGGAGCCAAAACCATCTTAGCCGTGAATTGAAAATGTCCCATATTTACCTTTTATTGCAATTTATATTATAGCAATTTGTTTAAAAAAAATGTATAAAAAAATTTGAACAACTTTTCCTCATGAACCTTATTTTGGGGTATCTCATGAAAGTGAATATGCAAAAAAATTTCATGGAACTATTTTCCCAACGAAGTCGAGCTTTTTGCATCATTTATACGGATTTGTTTTGTTTTTGTATTTTTTTTTGCCGTAAAACCTATTATAAAAACAATTATATATTATAAAATATAACAAATATATTATAAAAATAATATAATATTGTAACTTCGCAAAAGGCGTCAATTATTAATGATACTTCAAAAGTTTATATTATAAAATATGTATACGTTATATTATTGTATTAAACAAAATATATTTTCGAGGTAATATATTATTTTATAGTACATTTCAATAAGCAATTAATGAAAAGAAACCTAAAATGAAAATTAGGTTTCTGATGGTATTTATTTTTTGGAACAAAAACAACCAAATTTCTTTTAAACTAAAAATATAATTCAAGAAATATAAAATAATAAATAAATATAAATAATACAAAAAAATTGTATTGAAAAACAATTTTAAATAAAGTCCATATCTCGGCCGACATGCAATTAAGATATCAATCAGTTGGCTTCAAACAGTGGGGCGTTAATATTTAATTCAGATCGCTTGAAAAGTAAAAACATTTAATTTCATGTATTTTATGTTCAATATTATTATTGGATTTTACTGTAAAGGCAAATAAAATGAATATAATTTGTATATAGAGGGCGTGTTAAAAGAAGTGGGAGGGAATATTGCATGCAGTAAAATTGGAAAATACTGGCCAAGTTGCTGGTATGTCCAAATTTAAATAAAATACATCCAAGACTTTACTTTCGCAGACACTGTATCAAATATAACTTTGAAACAAATTGGCACTAAATCACTTCCGAGTTTTCAGCGAAACAAAAGGTTTAAACATGTGTAGTCCAGTAATTAATACCAAAAATATTGAAAGTATGCAGACCAGTAATTAGATCAAAAGTACTTTATCGTTTAACTAAAACACACCTCAAAGTTCAAATTGAATTTCCAAAACACTTTTGTGTTACTTCTTTTTAGCAATCGATTTGTCCTATTCACTCCCTGATATTTCACTATCAGACCTGATAATTATCTATCTGAATAATTAGAGGCCGGACCTCATCTATAACTCGCTCGGTTTGAAAAGACTAAACGATTATGTCTTCCGTATGTCTAATACAATTTATTGCCATTGTTCTAGCGATTCTTTCCATAAACTAAGAACGCTTCTTCTTCTTTAAGTTCCATCTTCTATCGAAGGTTGGAAATCATCATGGCTATGCGGACTCTGTTGACTGCCACTCTTAAAAGTTCTGCACTACTGCATTCAAACCATTCCCCTAAGTTCTTAAGCCAAGATATTCTTCGTCTTCCCACATTTCGCTTTCCTCGGATTTTGCCCTGCATAATAAGTTGTAATAATGCGTATTTTTGCCCTCTCATCACATGTCCCAGGTACTCGTTTTCGTCTTTTAATAGCTAATATTATTTCCGCCTCATTTCCTATCCTTCTAGTTACTTCCATGTTTAACATTCTTTGAATCCATGATATTCGTAGGATTCTTCTGTAACACCAAAATTCAAAGGCGGCCAACTTATTCAGATGAACTTGTTTTAGTGTCCAAGCTTCCAAACCATAAAGAAGAGTAGAGAACACGTAACATCGAAGCATTCACAGGCGTAGTTCTAACCTTATATCCCGACAACAAAGAAACTTTTTAAGTTTAATAAATGATGTACGTGCTATTTCAATGCGTGTCTTAATTTCTACATCTGATGTTATCCATGTTCCTAAGTATTTATAGTTATTAACACTCTCAATTGCAGTATCTTTAATAGTCAATTGGATATTTGCATGTGCAGATTTAGTCATGATCATGCATTTAGTTTTCTTTAAATTTATCTTCAGTCCTTACTCATGACAGCGTTCACTAAGGCGTTGCATTACGTTCTGTAAATCATTGTTGTTATCCGTAATTATTACTGTATCGTCTGCAAAACGTTAGTTATTCAAAACTTCTCCATGGATAGATATACCTTCCATTGAGTCTGAGAGCGCTTCTTGAAATACCGCTTCACTGTAGACATTGAAAAGTAGTGGGACAGCACGCAACCCCGGAGGACTCCTCTCTGTATTTTGATATTTTTGGTGTACTGGCTGTCAACTCTTACCTTGGCAGTTTGATTCCAATATATAAGAACGCTAGCGTCATCTGTTGTTTTAGATGCATGTTTATCATAAAAAATTTTAGCTATACCACAAACAAACTCAATTAAGTTATAGTGGCATTGGTAGGGCGGAAGTCAAAGAACTTCATGGCCATATTTAAGAACTATTTGGTTAGTAACAAATTTCTTCTGAATTTTGTGCTCTCCACACCTTTGAAGTAAATTCACTTTTAAAAATATGTCACTGTGATAAATTTTCTTTGCTATCAACCACTACTTTATTATTTCTTTTGCCCAGCTGCTTGAAGGAAATCTCTCTTCTACTCTTAAGTGGTAGGATGCATTATCCAACACTATTAGGGATGGTCGCTACAATATTTTTAACAAATTTTCTTCAAACCATTTTTTAAAAATATTTGCATGCCTCTTTCCATGGTAATCACCTGTATTGTTTGTGGACAAAAAAATTAAACTGGCGTCAGGAATAAAACCCTTATTATTTCTAGCATGAAGTATAATGTAGCGTTTACCATGTGTGGTGCCATCTTACCAGGATGATTTTGACATATTTCCTTAAGCGAAAATCCTAGTTTCATCTAAAAATGTAACTTGCCTTGGACTATCAGGCATTTTATTGTTTATGTATTTTCTTAAAAAATGCCACCGTTTTGTAACATTAGCGAGTTTACATAATATGTACTTATATTATTTGTCTCTATATTATTTGTAATCTTATTTGTCTTTTTATATCGAACACCTAAATGTTTTAGCACTCTCCACTAACTTGTTAAACTAATATTACACAGTTCCTTGTCTTTTATTTTCTGTAACACAGCACTAATTGTTACATGTTTTTTTGGCTTTATACATATTATATTAAAGCCGACAACCTTTCAACTCATATAGTCTTTATAGATCTGACAAAGGCATACGATAGTGTACCACTTTCAATGCTTTGGGTAGCAATGGAAAAACAAGGAATAAGCAAAAAATATATACAAGCAGTACAACAGCTCTACAAAAATATGACAGCAAACATTAAAACTGGAAATAAATTAACTAGAGAAATTCCTATTAGTAAGGGCCTAAAGCAAGGCTGCTGTCTAGCACCTACACTCTTCAAAATATATCTAAATGAAGCACTCTCACTATGGAAAAGAAAGTGCTGCACTATGGGCATCCCAATCGGAGATGATACACTTAGCTGACGACCAAGCCATTCTAGATGAAGACGATAGTGATATAAGCTAAATGCTTAGAAAACTGGAAGATGAGTATACCAAATGGGGCCTCACAATTAATATACAAAAAACTGAGTACTTAGTTGTAGAAGAAAAACCAGAAAGCCTACAAATCTAAATGGGAACTATAAAACCAACAGACAATTTTAAGTACTTGGGAGTCCAAATAACATCAAAAGCAGGAAGTAGCGAAGAAATACATTCCAGGATTGGCCAAGCAAGATCATCCACCAGACAGCTACACGGACTATTATGGAATAAAAAAATAACAAAAGAAAATAAAAGAAGAATTTATAAAACAATAATAGAAAGTATTGGACTGTACGGCGCCGAACTCTGGGAACTAAACCAAAGAAACAAATCAAAAATTAAGGCCATGGAAATGAACTACTGGAGACGATGTTGCCAGCTCACTAGACTTGATAGGGTGAGAAACGAAGATATTCGGAGAGAAATGGAAATCGATCTAGACATAATAGACACAATCGAAGCCAAAAGACTTAACTGGTATGGACACCTTCAGAGAATGCCGGAAAATAGATGGCCAAAAATAAAATGGACTCCGCCAACTAGAAGAAAACGAGGTTGACCAAGACGATCCTGGAGAGACGATGTCGACGATGCAATGACCGCCAGAGATCTAACAACTGAAGATTGCTTCGACAGAAAACGCTGGAAATTAGGATGCGAGAAGCGGCGCCAGCTGTAGAAGACTCGCTTGTTATATATACTTATTATATATAATATTTTTAATTGCTAGTTTAATTGACTGGTGGAAATCTTAAGTTCTAGGATGTCGATGATTTATCGCACTTACTTTATTTATTTCATCCTCACCCATGTTATTAATTTTTCGAAATTTCCTCTATGAGATACCGCAAGCATCGCATATGAGTTTTTGAACTGCCATAACATATGTCAATAGACCCATATTATTTTTTTCCAAATTGAAATAACTTTCGACTTTTCAGAACTAGATGCCCTTCTTCTGGAGATGACACTCTACGTTTCGACTGTATTTTATTTTCTTCCAAATTACTCATTTTACTTTAAAGTACCGCTTTACTACAATACTATAAAAAGTAGGTATATATACAACTACTACACCCTAAAAAGGACGAGGGCTGTACAACAGATGAAACAATCAAACACAAATTATTTAACAGCCAATGCTAAACAACCATAAACAGTGCATTGATTGTGATTGCAATATCCGTGCACATGTTAAAGATTTTTGCTGATCATGCATTTTGCTAAATTATTAAATAACACCAATACAAGCCACGGCCATCAATTAATTTTTAACGATACACAAAAGTGTAATATAATGATAAGTTTAAATTTGAACTACATTGTCGATAACATTGTCGTTCACAGAAAGATATTTTTAAATAGCATGAATCATTTTTCAATGATTGTATGGATTTAAGAAATACATAATTAAAAAAAAGTAACATATAATAAATTCACTGTTTAAATAAATACTGTTCGTACTCGTACTATTGCAATAGAATATTAAAATCAATTAACGATAACTTGTTGAGCAGTGCTGATTAAAATAACAGAGCAGTAAAATATTATTTATAAAGATAGTGTAAAATATATCGCCGCTTATCTGGTCCGCTAGTAATAAAGTTACCAGCATTTAATTGCAAATCGGTCTTCTTAGGTGGAAAATACTTTAGTTTGGTCTCCTATGTACTTCTCAGGACTCTACTGTACTGTACTGTACTGTACTGTACTCTACTTAATGGAATTATTTACGGGAGGCCTATGTTCAGCAGTGGACGCAAAATGGCTAATGATGATGATGATGATGATGATGATGTACTTCTCAGCAGAAATCAGTTACAAATGAAACGCTAACCGTAGTTATTTGCGAGCGACGGCTGAAAGCCGCCTTAAAGGCGCCCACTCACCAAGAAGGAAGAATGCGCAATTAAGTCTGTGCATGTTTGCTTTAAGGTAAACTCGTACCAAAGAATATAGACGCTTAAGCGTCTATATTCTTTGCTCGTACGCTCCACGCCGGCATACACCAGTACTTCTGCTTTCAGTTTAGAAGTACGGTTAAAGTGAACATGACGTCAAAAAACGATCTTTTATTAATGGCAGTGGCGTGTGTTTGTATCAAAGAAAGGTGTCGTATTAAAAGAAAACCAAGGTCGCAATGGACAAAGGCTTGGTTACAAAAATGAGCTACATACTCTCATGTCAGTTTACTGGACGAATTGCGACTGGATTCATCAGATTGGCATAATTACTTGAGAATGGATCAAGATACGTATTTTGAACTATTATCTTTAGTAACTCTTTTGATACAAAAACAGGACACGCGAATGCGGCAGGCTTTAACGGCACATGAAAGGCTAACTGCAACATTTTGATTTGATTTGATTTTGACAAGATTTTTGGCAACGGGAAGGAGCTATGAGGACTTAAAATTTTCAACAATAATTTCAGCTCAGGCATTAGGTCGAATTATTCCGGAAACATGTGAGCAATAATGTCGTGTATTACAAAAGGAAGTAATGAAGTAAGTTGATTTGCAATGTACATTTTTTTTTTCATTAGAAAAAATAATCTTGCCAATATAAAATTCGTTTTTATTGAGATTTTCAATAAAGACAAAGAACTGAAAACACAAAAACTGAATCTAGAATCGGTACAGATCATACTAAAAATATTAATATTTCAAAGAAAAATATCTTTTGCAAATTGCAGAAATCAGTATTATTAGAAAAATTCTTATAATATGTAGCAACGGAATTGGATTGTTGACCCATTGAACTCGATATCTGAATATTGACTTGTTATTGACTTTTACATTGAGGTAATGCAAACAGAAGTGGCATATTTACCGAAAGAACAGAATTTTCATTGAGCCTTCCTAGTTCTGCATTGTAAAGTATATCATTAAACAACTTTTCTGCAAACACCCTTGTGTTGGTAGGGAATCTTCTCAATTTACAGGATATATTCTTTCCTATTCGATCACTGTATGCTTTATTTTTAATCTGCCATAAACAGGAATAACTTCTGTATAGCTCTATGAATTCCGTAATAAACTCTCTCGACATGCACCTTATATCACTCATGGTTTTTAATTAAGTGTTTGTTTTCTCATAAAATTATAAAATGCTTAATAATATGCAACATCCAACGAACAATCGTACAGCACTGATTTAAAATGAAACATGCAGAGACTTGTTGCCCATACACTCTCATTCTTCCCCGCGCGATGATAATTGCACACGCTAAAAATCAATACGATCCTGATTTTGAGAGGCTTGGTTGCACATTCCACATTTTTCGCCATACACATACACTTTTAACTGTACCCCGTGCCATGCACATTCAATCCTTCGCGCTTCCTTCTGAGTGAGTGCCTTAATACGGATTAGCCCAGTACATCTAATAAGTTTAGCGATTAGGTAACTGTGTCTACTTGCGTGGTACTTACAGATTAATACGCAAGAATTGTATTTATTATTGCATTCCATTACAATTTATAAAAATTGCTAAGGAATTTGATTTCTTTTGGAATATTTCTTTTAAATAATTTACGTTAAGTTACATAATGTAACTTATTGTGTATTCAATTTTTTGTGTAGAAAACTGTATTTACTAGCTTGTTTTTGTATATTATATATTTTTTGTGTTTTTTTAGGTATGATTACTAGCGGTATATTTATGGGAGTGCTCTCTGATATATTTGGGAGGAGAAAACTAATCTTATGGGGATATTTTTTAAACGGACTTGCAAATATTGTAGCAGCAATGTCACAAAACTTTCTAATGTTGATGGTAGCAAAATTTTTTTGTGGATTTATGTAAGTATATGAGAATATCTAAGTTTGTATCTATAAGTATTTGCATTAATCTGTAATTTAGTTATTTTTCTGCTTGTTTTGATTTTGCTTTGTTATAAATACGTTATAAAAAAAACACAATTACGTAACACAAATAAATTAGTATATTCGCATCTATCCAGCTGCCTCTAAATTCTACCAATATGTACAATTATTTATCCAATAAATAATATTTAACCCTTTTAGTCACACTATAAGAAATAATACAAATAAAGATATAAAACTTCCTAAACTTTTTCTGATATTTATTTGAAGATTTGAAAACATAGAATTAGAGTCCTTTTGGTTTTAGATTTATTATTTAATGTCCTTTTGCAAAGACAAAGTTACTTTAGGTAGTCACACTAAAAGTAAAACCGTAAGGAAAAAACTAACTGAAATACATTGAATTATCACAAAAAAAAATTCAAAATTATGTTTTTTATAATACTTAAATATTTACCCATTATGGCAGATTATATTCACTGAGTATATGTTTTAATATATAATATTTACTAACAAGCTGAAATGATAGTGAGTTTGGATAAAGATAGTGCAAACATTCCTGACCACGGCGCAGTAGACGAAATTTGATTTAATCTCCACTTCCATGCGAAAAGTACTGTACTATGTAACGGAATGGTAGAACGTTTCAGTTTGATTAGCATAATTCCACTTACAATAGAACCTTTCTGCCTTTACGTTAATTTTGACTCCGCCTTCGCGCAGCTCCATGGTCAGCATTGTTTGCACCATCTCTAATAGAATCGAAACAAGACCAGTAAAAATTAACCAAGGCGTAAGACAAGGAGACACATATACCCAAAATTATTTATAGCTGACCTAGAAGATATCTTTAAATCAATAGACTAGGAAAATAAGGGAATCCCTATTAACAGAAGATACTTGAACCATCTTAGATACGCAGATGATGTAGTACTAATAGCCGACACGTGAAATGCACTAAATACGATGATTGAAGAGCTACACACAGAATCCTAAAAAAAGGACTGAAAATGAATTTCAGCAAGTCTAAACTAATATCAAATAAAGATGATAAACCTATGATAAACATCCAAGGGACAAAGATAGAACACGTAGATGAATATACATATCTGGATCAAAATGTCAAGGTAAGCAAAGAAAATCAGACTACCGAAATAATCAGGCGTATAAAAATGAAGTGGGCAGCATTCGAAAGACTCTCATATGTACTTAAAAACAAAAATATACCCCAGAGACTGCGAACCAGTGTTTAATTTCTGTATCCTACCTGTACTTACATATGGAGCTCAAACCTGGACATAAAGAAAAAAAAAGAGGTTAGTCTTCGTAAGTGGGTATATTTATTTAAAAAAACCCTTAAAAGGGCTACATCAAAAAAACAAACGTTTTCGGACTAAACAGTCCATCATCAGGTTTAACATCGCTAGGTTAAAATGCCTGAGCCACCAAAATACATGGGTAAAAACCCTATAAATTACATATAGTTATAAAAGATTATACATCTTGTTGTTAAAAAACTGTGATGTTCAGTATTAAATTAAATATGACTTCAGGTAACATACATTGTTAAATTGAGTTTCAGAGCCGGGGAGTAAACCTCTACGCACAGAGAACAGCTGGAAACTGATTTTGGTGGCTCAGGCATTTTAACCTAGCGATTTTAAACCTGATGATGGACTGTTTAGTCCGAAAACGTTTGTTATTTTGATGTAGCACTTTTAAGGGTTTTTTAAATAAATATACCCACTTACGAAGACTAACCTCTTTTTTTGTGATACGTGGTATACAGCCAGCTACAGGAATTGTTTTCCTTGTGGATAGTTAATGGATATAAAGGCACAAAGACCATAAAACCAATGAAGACATTCCTAATAGAACAAAAGTAAAAGATGCTGTCGAATAGGCAGCTAAACTGAAATGGAAATGGGTTGGACATAACAAACGTCTTAACGATAGTAGATGGAATAAAGAAATCGGGAATTGGCGGCCATATAAAGCCAAAAGACCAAAAGGAAGACCGCAAATGCACTGGAGCGACGGTATTAAAAGAACTGCAGGACCAATGTGTAAACCTCTCACAAACAACAGAGATGAATGTCAAGAATTCGGTGAGGCCTATATTGAGATAAGGACTTATATAAATACTCAGTGACATTAGGAGTGTTACACCCAGAAGGATTAATTTCTCCAACTTAATTTTTTGGCAATAAAATGACTACAGTAGACTTGCGATTATCCGAGGTAATTGAGATCGTGACTACCTCGGATACCGAAAGAACTCGGTCACTGAGATTGGTTATACTATTAGAAAAATGTGTACCTATGTTAATAATGATTAATGTGTTTATTTTAATAACTAAAATTTCCTCTTTTTGGGCGGCGATGTTGCGCGAATGTTGAAAATGAAGGACGTCTAATGGGGTTGATTCTTCTTGTTGTTCAATGTATACGAGAACTGCTTCCAGGGACTTAAATCCTTTGGAATGAGAAATCTTTTGAGTTATCCCATCTGTATCTTCTTCTTTTTCTTCATGGGTGACGTTTAGACCTAGATTGGCAATTACATCATCTGTCAGTTCCACTTCTTCATCTAGATTCATCCAATCGATTATGTCTTGGTTTCTGATTGTTTGTTCTACTCGTAATTGATTGGCTAGGTGGGTTATAGAATCAACTTTACAGTCATCAGTTTCCTTTTGAACGTCTTGTGTTTTGTTGTCTATCTTAAATAATTTTTTCCACAAATTCTGAGTAGTGGACATTTTTACGTCCAGGTAGATGCAATTTAATAGGAAACATCTTTAACCGCGATCTTCTTCAATGCCTCAATTACAGTCAGCCCTTCATCCAGTTTATAGTTAGCAGTACCTGAAGAAGCTTCCGCCGATAATTTCTCTTCATTCCTTATATAACGTCTTGGTCTAGGGTTGGAGTCACATGGGGTGGAAGGAACACAGCTTGTATGTCACCACTAATCAATTCCCTTGCATATGGGTGGGATCGTGCGTTGTCTAACAACAACAAAGCTTTTTGGGCCAATTCACTACCACCACTCATACTTCGGTTTACCCACTGTTCGATTTCATTCTGCTTACGCTTCCAATATCCAACAGTTACTTCTCCGACATCTAAATCTGAAGAAACCTCCTTTATTGATTCACCCTTGTTCAACCTCGTAATTGTATTCACTTTTGTTTCCAAAGGTGCAATTACTCTCTTCCACTTTTCACTCATATTGCACAGAAAGTCTCTCTTACACTCACAAAAATCAACTTATGAAAAATTAATTATGAAACCGAAACTAATAACTGGAATAAATTCACAAAACAGTACATAAAAGGAAAAATATTACCGTACAGATACTTAATTTGACGATCTGAACGACAGCAAACAAATCGCTAGTTCAATTCACATTGATTAACATAGAAAGGAACAGGAAGTTGTAGACAAAATACCACACAGAAATTTCTGCTCATGAAATCTCTTTCACATCAGCTTGACCTAAAGCATACCTTACAAATAATTCTCTTCTTATCAATAATCCAAAATTTTCAATTGAGTGCCCATATAATAGCTGCCGATATAACTTCTGACCATCGACCCTTTTTTTTACTCGATATTGTGATTCAACAAGTACGACTATAAAGGTAAAACCAAGGTAAAATTTTGCCTTGGTTAACCGGATAATCGCGAGTCTACTGTATATTTAAAACATGCTATGACAACAATATTAATGTTGTATCTGTTCTATTTTTTTGTAAAAATAAAGTTTTATCTTCTATCTTTCTAAGTTCTATCTATTTTTTTGTGAAAACCGTTTCAAACAGAAATTTTTAATTATTATTCCTCAGTCTAATTGTATTCAATGTAAGAAAACGTTAGCAATTTTAAGATGTAAAGAGCATGTGTGGACAAATGTAGAGTAACACGAAGAAAACCAGCTGGTCAACCGGGGCGTACCACAGAGCGTCAAGATAGGCGCTTTAGATTACTGGCTTTGCGACACCGTTTTGCTAATTGTAGGTAGACCTGTTGGTATGCGTATACTTTACCGTTGCATTCGAGCCTTTGGACTGGTTTCATTCCGCTCAAGACTAGTGCTTCCTTTGACTGCGGACCACTGTCATTAACATTTGAATTGGTGTAGAGAACGGCAGCATTTGGTGGCAGAATGGCGTAATGTAGCATTCAGCGATGAATCACAATTCTGCTTAGGAATATGTGATAGTCGTAGGAGGGTAAGACGCTGCCGTGGAGAGCGACGAGATATCGGGTTTGATGTTAAGAGGCATGTACACAGGACAGTTGGAGTAATGGTTTGGGGGGCTATTGCCTATGGTAGCCGATCACCACTTGTCTCTATTCCAGGCAATATGACAGCTGCGCATAATGTTGATATTTTACAAATCACTTTACTGCCTTCTGTTGATGGCCGTCGAGACGTCCTTTTGTAGCAAAGCAACGCGCGTTCGCATTACTCGTCAAACTATGGACTTTCTCCAAGAATAGAGCGTTAGTGATTTGCCGTGACTGCCCCGTGCTCTGGATTTAAATCCTATCGAACATATATGGGATATGATGGGAAAGAGACTGTTCACTTTGCGCCATCCTCCACAGAGTCTAGGATAATTAATACATGAATTTCAAGTTGCTTGGAACGAAGTCTCACAAGCAGAAGACATCGATCATTTCATTTTGTCAATGCCTAGGCGTATACAGGGCTGTATTCAGCTACGGGTCGCACATTACTATTACACTATTACTAGTAATACATTATTTATTTATTTTTTTGATTACTTGTTAATGAAAATTATTGACAACGTTATCGTTTCATTCTTAATGCAAATCTACCATGTTGCCAAAAAATTCAGTTTTATAAAATTATTCCTTCTGAGTGTAATATTTTTAATGTCACTCAGTATATAAAAGCAGCTTCTTTCTTTGAACATGCAAATATATACTGTTGTGCTTTTATTAATTCTAATTTATTGTTTCTATTATTTATCAAAGGTTCTATATCTATAACACGTACAACTTAATTTAAAGTTTATTTATATTAATAATTTATCTTACACTGATAATTACATAATTTATTTATACGAACGTTACATTTAAAAAACCAGTCGCGATTTATCTTCTGACTGGTGTTTTCTACAAAAAGGTTTCTATTTATATAGCATGCCGTTATTTCGAGAGTTCCGGTGATTCCCTCTGACTAGACTAGAAGGTCAGTCGGCCGGATCTTCATTCGACCGGTTTCTGGAACCTTCGAATCGTAGGGGAGCGACCGTTTCAGATAGATATTACCTTTAATTTCTGCCAGCTAATAAAATGTAGAACATAAAAGTGAATAAACAACATGTTTACAGATTTTTATTATGACTCATATTTTTTACGTAACAATACATTACATTTTTAATATATAGTTATATATTTTCTGGAGCATTTGTTCATTTTGCATTTAGTAGCATATTTATTGTTTCAAAAATATTCATCTATCATATAGCCTACTTCGAAGAATTTACTTCACGCCGGTTTTTGGTAGATTTATGACTATTAATTAATTGACTACATATAGTTAAGTTTGAGGAACGTCCTCATTTTGACTATTCTCTATATTGTAACAAACATTCTGCAACATTTTGTAGAAATTTCCAGAGATCAAAATGTGTAGTTTAGGCATTCCGACACATTCATCCTGGGCTTTGTACTATAATCAGGAATTAGTTAGTGCCATACCAAAGCTTATCAACTGCTCATGATTTATTTTAGGCCCTTCAGGCCGATCGTATGCAGATCCTATCGCGAATTCCGGGCACCGAAGTCATGTAAAGCATACATGGGCCGGACCCCACTCGGATGCTCAGATGTTATCAGCTCAGGCTGGTAGCTCTGTTTGGTTAGTTTATCTAGTAGATTATGATAGTTAGCTTGCAAGTAACGATTGATGTGGGTGGGTTGACGATAAATAAAGTAATGAAAACCTTGGGATTGGTTTTTCTTTACGAAAACATCGAGATACAGTAGTGATGAATCAGTTTTCACCTCCATCGTGAAATGGATACTGGGATGTATACTATTCAGATGGGTTTAAAAAACGCTAAAGTATCTCTGTCATGGGGCCAAATGACGGTGACTTAACGTTTTGCATTATGTAATTTTTAAAATGTTAAAAACTCACATTGAAACAAACGTTGAAAATATTTTTTTTTAATTAAAGATAATAATAATTTTTAGATTTAATGGTCCATTTTCTGCTAGCACTACCCTTCTTACTGAATATCATGCTGCAGCATATAGGTCAAAAGTACAACTATTCAGAGGTGTTACATTCTCGCTTGGATTTTTCATATTACCACTTATTGCTTGGGCTATTTTACCACTAGATATCGATTACAAAATATTTGGATTTATAGGTAAGTGCTAATTGATTTTTTTTGCAAATCTATAAAACTAGCTGACCCGACAAACTTCGTACCGTACCGTCAAAAGAACAGATCTATAACGAGTATTTATTTATTTATTAGGTAATAAAATTTAAAGTACAAAATGCACAGTGGTGAAGCTTATAAGAAGAAGAGTAGAGTTAGATTGGAATATGACAGTAGTGGTGAGGAGAAAAGGAAAAAGAAAAATAGAGGAGACAGTGAAGACGGAGAAATTTTTAAAAAGAGCAAATTAGCAAAGAGGTCACCGAGTCAGAACAACACCCAAAACCAGGAAATATGCTAAAAATGATACGTGAACTTTTGTCGAAAATGACGAGATCATCGCCGAAATGAGAAAACTGCGTGAAGAATGTTTGTCTGTAATGAGGCAAATAAGAAAATCGAGCAGCTGAAGAAAGGCAAAAGATATATATTAGATATATGTTACTAACAAATGGTAAAAGAGCAAGATACAGGCTATAAAGATGAAGTTTTTAGAAAGAATTAAAGGTGATGCCAAGGTGGATAAAATAAAGAATACAGATAAAAGGAACAATCTACAATAAAATACAATCCACATAGTTGGTGAAGCTATTTACACCGAATGAAAGAGTGAAGAGTGTGGCGAGGAAAAATATTGAAAAACAAAACGAGATGAAGACCAAGACCGACATTAGATAAAGTAATCAAACAGTTGGTGACATGGACAGGCGCAAGGATGTTGACACGAAATCGCAAGGAATGGAAGAAATTTGGTACGAAGTAAATAAAAAACATGACACCGTCATATGGTAGCAAGGATTTTTGATTATATATATATATATATATATATATATATATATATATATATATATATATATATATATATATATATATATATATATATATATATATATATATATATGCTAAATTACAGAGAATAATTTTTTTGTTTTATATTCCCTGGTTTCCTATCCGCTTTACTGTCGAAGGCATTGTTATATGTAAGAGCATTTCCACATTGGTAAAAATTATTTTTGTCTTGATTCCACCACACAGCTTTCATAATAGTATTTATTTTCAGAAATACATTCCTGGAATATTTTTCTCTTGTGTTGTTCCATGGGCACGTTCTTGTCTGCTATTGGATTTTATTTTATACCTGAGAGTCCAAAGTTTTTAATGAGTAACGGCAAGAACAAAGCAGCAATTGAGGTTTTCCAAAAGGTTTATAGATGGAATAGTGGAAAATCAAACGCAGACTATCCGGTAAATAGCATTTTAGCATTTTTGTTATAAGCCTTAACTAAACTTGTTATTATTATAAATTAAATTATTATTGTAGGTAAAAGAGCTTAAGGAAGAATTAGAATGTACAACTAGAGGAAATCAAAAACGAAGGGCATCCGTACAAATAGCTGTTAATAATTTTTTTGTTCATTTAAAGCCATTATTTAAACCTCCTGTTGTCTTCCATCTGCTTTTAGTATGTGCTATGTCATATATGGTTATGATGAGGTACGTAAACCTAGTAATAAACTAATACGTTGGAGTATCGAAAGACCCGACAGAATTCTTTGTATAAACGTAAGTTTTTGCCAAATTCCCGTATGAAAAACATCCCGAATCACATGAATTTAATTTCAAATAGAAAACCAAAAAATAATAATCGAAAAACGTTCTTAGAAAACAACTAAAGGAATGGAGCATCACCGCGATTAATAATTGGTTTACTTCAGATTCCTCAACACTTAGTCGTTTAGCATCGATGGTAACCCTTGAGTAGTCGGGTGGGGCATGTGAGACCAGCGACAATTTATTTCTAATGCCTCACTACGTATTTTATGTCGGAGTGCGCTGCGTTCATCATTACCTTTCCGACCACATGTCGAACAGTAAACAATGCGGTTTGCATTAGTGTATAATAGTACGCTAGTTATTTGCACTTTTGGTCTGTCAGACTCTGCCCGAGTATTTGTGTTACTTTTGTGAGTTCGACAAGTAAATTTATTTTTCTATTTTTCGTAAGGTATAACTTACACAGAGTAAGTATTTTAATTCCTATGGCCCATATATAAATATAGTAATGTTTCAGCCTTTAATTTTTTTCTCTTGTATTTCAGTTTTCAGTGATGGATCCTTATCTGAAAGAAATTCGAAGATTACAACACATCTATGATAAAGTAGAAGAAGAAAATATCAATTTGAAAGGCGAGCCAGAATCAGACAGCTGTGACGAAAGTGACAACAACACAGACACAGAAGAAAAATGGGAGGACGAATTGGAAACAGAATTGGAGGAAGGATTAAAGGAGGATCCTGCAACCTTAAAATATTTTGAAATAAATACGGAAAACCGGCGGCTCTTGGAAATGGAAATGGAAAACCACATTACGTTCCTGGATCTTACTTAACATTAGACGAGATGCTTTTTTCAGTCCGTAGACGTTGTGAATTCCCCATGTACATCCCGAATAGGCCAGCAAAATATGGCATAAAAGTATTTTCCTTGGTGGACGCCAAATGTTTTTACACAGTAAATATGGAACTATACGGTGGAGCTTAGCTTCCAGGGCCATATCACGTTAGTACTAAAACCACCGATTTAGTGAAAAGAATGAATATATGAGCCTGTGTTTAGATCGTCTAAAGATATAACCATGGATAATTGGTTTACAAGTTACAAAATTGTAAAACGCATGCTGGAGCAGCACAAAATTACAATTGTTGGAAAAATTCTAAAAAAGAAAAGGGAGATTCCAAAGGAATTTGTTGATTCTAGCAGACCACAGTACTCAGATTTTTCAAATCCATTACTTTGGTGTCGTATATTCCAAAGAAAAGAAGAAGTTGTTACCATCTTTTCACTATGATTGATGAAGATTCTGTAGATGCCTGTAAGCCCAATATTATTACTTTTTATAACATTACAAAATCGTACGTTGACTTAGTCGATCAGAAATGTGTGGTTTATAACGTAGACCGAAACACCCTAAGATGTCCAATGGTCATTTTTTATAATGTAGTCAACATTGTAGGCATAAACTCTCACGTCATACATAATTGGAATGCAAATGAAAATGACCTAATCTCGCAAAAAAGATTATTTCTGAAATCAACTGGCTTAGCCTTGACAAGAGAGAACATGCTAACCAGAGCAAGAGACCCTCATTTACAAGGCAATATCAGAAATGTCGCCCAAAAATTAAACGAAGTACATGCAGATCCAGCGTCTAAATTAACGAGGTTCTTGTCGTATTGTCCAAATCGTAAATCACGATATTTTTGTGTCAAATGCCAAAAATGGCTATGCTTAGAGCATGTCAAACCGATTTGCGAAGACTGAAAATTACACTCCACATTTTTGTTGCCAACTTTTTTTGGCATTTTCTTAAAGATATTGCTTATTTTATCATGGGGTTTTAAATGTTTAAGATGTATCAAAAATGAAATAAAAAAAGAGTGTACACATATCAAATAGTTTTATTTTAATCTTTTCTAATGTATTGTGTAAATTAAAAAAATTATTAAACGCTAACCGGGTTTAAAGATATCCATAATTTTAGTTTACATATGAAAATATTTTTTATACACACATTAATTATATAACTGACAAACAAAATAAACATGGATGTAAGTAAGTAGTAAGGATGTAGAAGGAAACATCCTAAATGATACAGCCTCAATCCTAAACAGATGGGTTGAATTTTTCGATGCAAAATTTAATTTCCATCATATCGAAGAAGCAGATAACACCCTAGCAAATCTAAATGATTGGAATCCTTTCAACCCAAACGAAAGACCACCTACCATCGAAAACGTTGCCCAAGCCATTAAAAAGCTTAAAAATAATAAATCACCAGGAGTTGATCAAATTTGCAGTGAGCTCTACAAGAATGGTGGCGATGCCCTACTACAGACACTGCATAAGCTTTTACTTCTTGTTTGGCATAATGAGACCATGCCTTGTGAATGATCTCAAGGCGTGATATGCCCGTTACATAAAAAAGGTGACTGGCTCCAGTGTGACAACTACAGAGGTATAACCCTGTTAACAACTGCTTACAAAATACTAGCAAATATTCTCTACGAAAGATTGCAAGTTTACAGAGTAGGCGTAATTGGTAAATATCAAGTTGGATTCACTCCAGAAAAATCAACAATTGACCAGATTCATTCAATAAGACAGATTCTCGAGAAAATATTAGAATTCAATATTGAAACCCATCACCTATTCGTCGACGTCAAGGCCGCATACGACAGTGTCAAGAGAACAGTGCTATACCAATCAATGCATGAGTTTGGTATACCAGAGAAACATCCGACTGACGAGAATGACAATGTCTAACTTAGTAGCCACTGTTAGAATACAGGGAGAGAGTTCTAGATCCTTTAAGATAAAGGATGGACTCAGACAAGGAGATGCTCTGGCTTGCCTCCTATTTAATATTGCCTTAGAAAAGGCAGTCCGAGAGACACGAATTAGGAATGGCGGTACTATTTACTATAGATCGATACAAGTCTTAGCATATGCTGATGACATTGACATAGTAGGGCGTAGCAAGCGAAATGTTGAGCAATATCTCCTAGAATTGGAAACAGCGGCGAAACAGGTCGGTCTAGTTATCAACGAAGACAAAACCAAGTACATGTTGGTTACAAAGGATCCGATAGCAAATGAGGAACGAGAAACAGTCTTTGGAAGTCATACTTTTGGACGTGTTGACAACTTCACATACCTTGGGTGGCTATTGACTGCTACCAATAAAACAAGCAAAGAAATCAAAAGACGAATAAATTTTACAAATAGGGCATATTATGGACTCCAAAAGCATTTCCACTCAAGAAACATTCAAAGAAAAACTAAAATTATTAAATACAAAACATTGCTGAGGCCGGTCCTCACATATGGAGCAGAAACATGGACTCTAACGCAGAAAGATGAAAGACTTTTGCGAACATTTGAGCGTAAAATACTCCGTAAAATATTTGTATCAGCTCTTTGATGAGCTAGATGTCATAACGTTCATTAAAACACAGCGACTTAGATGGGCTGGATACATAATACGAATGCCAGTAAATACCATTGCTAAAAAGCTAACCACAGGAACACCTGTAGGAAAAAGAAGCAAAGGCCGACCGCGAATTAGGTGGTTAGATGGAGTAGAAACTGACTTACGAATAATAAAAATCAGATGATGGCAACATGTTGCCAAAAACCGAACAGAATGGCGACGAATTTTAGAGCAGGCCAAGATCAACAGAGGATTGTCGAGCCAAAGATGATGATGATGTTAGTAAGTAGTTGCCAAGAAAAAATATTTTTACTTAACATTTTATTTTGTTAATTATATTTAAATTATTATTTATAAGCAAATATTTTAAATATATACTTGTAACAATAACATGAATAATTTTCAAGATTGTTTACCAAAAATTATGTTTTCTGTCAGATATATAGTACGAGTTCGAAAATGATCTTTCGATACCTATCTGTGTTATTGGTTCATACACTGAAATTCCGTCCCATATCCATCTGAGTCAAGCTGGCTTGTCAGCATGCGTTATTACTAAACTTATCAAACTTGTTTACTTTTCTGAATATTTTTATTTTGGTGATTAAAATTTGTAGAAGATATATGCTAAAATATGTCAAATATTGCAAAATATGCATCAACAGTAAAAATAGCAATTATCTGCAAAATATTTAACAAATATGCAACTTTCATACCTATAACATACATTTTTTTATTGCAGCGCGGGTTTGCTCAAGTTTTGGCTTCCACAGATTCTACAGTATTCTAACAGTAACGAATCTTCCAATAACTCAACTGCATTTAGTATTTGTAACATGATCAATACGTTAGCTAAACCCAAAACAGAGTCTACAGAAGTATGTCATGTGGTAAGTATAGCAAGAATAAAATAATAATGATGTTACTGTTGTCATTCGCTTTTTTTCCTTCCGATATTGCTTTTACTTGATTTACTGAATATAAAAACATTTTTAGTATAAGATATTCAATTTATATCCTTTTTAATTTATTCATTTAAAATTTTCCGAATAATCTATATATTTGGTATTTTCGATAAGATTACAATCTACTATCTATAACAAAACGTTATAACAAAAGCTCTCATAACAAATAGGTTCTAATTTTTTTGATCAATAGGTGCTATATATTTTCTTCGCAATTTTTTAGTTTTGGGAAATCCTCTTAGCTTAGTAAATTTGTACAATGCTTCTCCTCAACAGTACATTATGCGAAAAGACAAACACATGACATAAACTTAAAGGTCCACTTGAATCCTGTCAACTACACTATTTAAGTTGTACTTGAGTCCAAACTTACCGGGCTTGGACTTGAGTCCCTTAAACATATTCAAAAGTATCAATTGGTTCACTAACTAATATTTCGTTAAAGAGGCACAGAAGAAGTATAAGGCTCTGACTAAGAGGCCCAAGAGATTATCTTGGAAAATCTACCGTGAATAATAATAATAATACTTTACCATGTCGTCACCCCAGTGCATGGTAAAACCTCTGGAAGTGCTTCTTTCTAGTTGTTGGTTTATCTTCTACTAATAAGGGGGTTCTTAGAACACCTCTAAACATTCACCTTCTTACGAACAGTGATAATACTGCTTTAATTACATATAATATTTCGCTTATTAGAGCTAACGGTAAAAAAGGTAGTATCGTAAACAAAGAGGTGCTATACTGTTAGAGATATGGCCTCCTATAAGTCGACCAGTGAAAACGGCATAAATTATGGTATATATGAAAATTATGGCATAAAATTTGGCCTCAAATTTGATTTAAAATGTGCTAAATTGTACCACCTTATTAACCACATATCCTGTTTTTTAAAGGGCTTTAAAGCCTTTATTAATATGCATTGCCAACGTGTTGTGGCTCTGCCTCGATTGGTTCGATCAAGGTTCAGTTGGCTCACCTCCAGTGGTTTGTATGCGTTAGTATCTCAGGAGTCATAAGAACTATCCACATAGGAGCTTTTCTTTTAATATGGGATCTATCACCTACAAAGCCATTGTGGTCGTCTACTGGCTTAACTGCTCTGAGCAGTAGTTTTCAGCAACTAGTCGGACTAAAAACTATATTATTTGAAAGCATGTCAGGAAGTGCTATCTTATGCTTTCCATAGATCTAAAACTAGAACTGTTTTAAGTGGCTTGTTTGGTTTAAAAAAGATCCAGCTAGATTCTAGGTTCCGCTACATGAATTTGGGATCGGATTTGAGTCAATTCAAGCTCTCGGTCACTACTCAAATATAGAAGGTATATTAGCACACCGATGTTCTTGAAAGGGAATTATCTGGAATCAAAACCTGTGATTTGAGTGCCCTTAAATACTGGCCGGGTTAGTCTTAAAAATCTTCTCTTACAAAAGGGGTTGTAATGGAGGTGTGAGATAGGTTAGGCCCTATTGATCTGGGTAACCGTTAAATCCTTCATCGCAAAGAAATTTGAGTGTCTTCATGTTACTGTATTTGCTAGACACCATTAACAGAATTTGCAGAAACGTGATGAGCTTTATAAACAAATAAATTTTGTATTTTTTAGGTCATTAATACATCAGTCTACAAAAATGCCTTAATAATAGCAGGACCTGAGATTTTAATATTTGCTCTGTCAGGTTTTATTGTGAATTATTTGGGAAAAACCAAACTAATTGGTGAGTCAATCTTCTATAACTATCTATAAGTTATATATATATATATATATATATATATATATATATATATATATATATATACAAACAACAAAGTTTATTATTACTCTTTATTTATTAACTCTCTTTTGACTTTTGGTCTAGCTTTCGGAATTGTTTAATTCCTTTTTCAAGACACTGTAATTAGAAGAATGTGTAAATATTTACAATATATCACAAAATGTCAGTGCAACTTACTAGTCTACTAGTCGTTGAGATTATTTATATAAAGCTATGATACTCAACATTAATAACACATATATAAAATATAACATAAAATAATGGACAAAATACATTTTAAAATTTAGTTAAAGATAGTAAAAATTCGTTTGTGACATTTTTGAATGGTGTGTTTTAACTGATCCATAGAAAATAGAAAAAAAAAACAAACATAGTATGATTAAAAATTAATTAGTTGTTTTCCATATTTATTAATAGAAAGTAATGTATTAAACCTGTCTTGATGGTATGCAACATTTTTTGCATGCAGGTGTATTATGGTGTGTATATGTACAAGTAAGTCTTTATTTCATTTTTGATGTTTTGTCAGTATATAACAATAAATGTTGCTGAGTTTATTTCAATTTTAATGGCTTCTCGAATAATTCTTTGTTTATAGAAGAAGATGGGCGCTATGGTTCTGGAGTTTTCAAAATCAATTTTGTGACCCATATAAAGATGATGTTGACCTAGAGCTGACATTCAGTTGGAATTGCGAACAGAAAATGAATGTTCATAAATGCTATTTTTCATTCTACGATTTGTTTGGCCTATATAGGATGGGAGGCAGTCTGCAGAAGGAATTTTATAAACTCCATGGTGTTCATTTGAAATATTGTCTTTCATTGATCGGACAAGCAATCAAAGTTTTTTTGCAGGGTAAATAGTATCTTTATTCCTCTTGGTTTAAGAATTTTGTCGATTTTGTTAGTGACACTTTTGATGTAAGGAAGAAAAGCTTTCGTATAATAAGGATTTGAGTCTTTGGGTTAAGATTGAGTGGGAGATTGATGTCTGTGGATGCTTCTATTGATCTGATTTTCGCGATAATCGTTTTGGATGAGGGCTTGTTTTAAACTAGACCAGTTGTTATATTATACTTCTAGAATTCTAGCTGATATGAACGTAGCACAAAGACTATTGGAAACAACACACAAAACATTAAAGTGAAAATGCTTTAAATATTAACAAATGAACCAAAAGACCAAGTACGAATTTAATATGTAAGGTATATTTGCAAAATCAAATAAATAAACAAGTGGATTAAAAAAAGGAGAAATTGATGGAACCAATACATAAATAGAATGATGAAGAATAAAATGTTAAAAAGGTAAGAGATAGACAGATTATCTTTATACCCAACTTGATTAAACAAATGGTTTCCAAAATTGATCTCCGAAACTGCTTATAGGTTTTCTTGGAAGCCTAGATCTTTCAGATATTTTTCTTCTTCGAGTGCCGTGTTTTATTGAACGTTGGCAATTTAGTGCTATTGCTGTAGTTGCGCTAAAGTGTTATAATAATGCTATAAGGTCTTTATCCAACAAGTGATGCAACCATCCCTTTTACAAACAGTCTTAAGCTGCAGTATAAGCTAGAAAATATAGTGTTTTAACCAAAAAATGTAGAAATTTAACAGTTAAAATAAAAAACGAGTTGGGAAAGTATATAGTACCAGTATGGATATAAACCAGTGGAAAATACAAGAAGAGGTCCATACGCAAAAATATAGGAATATAAATGGTTATTTCAACTATGTTGGTATTATCTATCTATCTATCTAATTAGCATTCTTCGGTCTATCTTTGGACATAGGCCTCCCCAATCATTTTCCATTCTTCTATGTCTGTCGCTACAGTCATCTACCTAGAGCCCACGTGCTTCTTAATATCATCTGTCCATCTTAATTGTGGCCTTCCTCTGCTTCGTTTATATTCCCACGGTCTTCAACTTATAAGAATTTTGTTCCATCGGTCTTCTTTTTGTCTTATATTGTGTCCGCCAAATCTCCATTTTAATTTTGCAACTTCCTGTCTAACATCCCCCACTTTTGTTTTCTCTTTTATCCATTCGTTTCTCCATTAGTCTTATCTGAAACATTTGTCTTTCCATTTCTCTTTGGGTTTTTATGACTTTGTCCATGTTTGCTTTTGTAAATGTCTACGTTTAGGAACCATAAGTAAGAACAGGAAGTGCGCATTGATTGTATACTTTGGTCTTAAGATGCTGTGGATATCTTTTGTTTTTAAGACTGTAGCTTAGTTTGCCAAATGCTGCCCATGCCAGTCTAACTCGTTATTTTTTCTCTGCTGTTTGGTTTTCTTTGTTAAGTTTTATAGTTTGACTTAGATATATGTAATCCTGAACTTGTTTTATTTCATCTTGTCCGATTCTCAATGTGATGTCTTCATCTGTATTTGTTATGGTTTTGGTCTTGCTGTAATTCATATTAAGGCCTATCTTTCCAGCTTTTTCGTCCAGTTCTTTCATCATTTCAAAAAATTCTTCTTTTTTATCGGTTATCAATACGATGTCATCAGCATACCTTAGATGGTTCAAGCGTTGTCCATCAATTTTTATACCTTTTTCTTCCCATTCTAATATTTTAAAAATATCTTCCAGAGCCTGATTGAAAAGTTTCGGTGATATTGTGTCACCCTGTCTCACGCCTCTATTTATGTGTATTGATTTTGTTCCTCCATATACTTGAATTGTTATTTTGGTTTCCTTATATATATTGGCTATTAGTTCCGTATATTTGTGGTCAATTTTGCTGTCAATCAACAAAATTTTCACTGCCCAATGTCGACACCGTCGAAAGCCCTTTCGAAATCTATGAACGCAATATATAGAGGAATATGGTATTCATTTGTTCGTTCTATAAGTATTTTCATACTTAGTAAATGGTCACTTGTGCTGAATCCCTTTCTAAAGCCAGCTTGTTCTTTCGACTAGTATCCGTCGAATTTTGTCTACAATCTATTGGTTAAAATTTTTGTTAGGAATTTATACATTACATTGAGGAGTGTTATAGGACGGTAGTTTTTTATATCTGCTTTATCCCCTTTCTTGTGTAGGATAATGGTTACTGATTCCTTCCAGTTGTTTGGGATTCTTATTTCTTTTAATATCTTATTAAAAAGGAAATGTAGAGTATTAGTTACCACTTTTCCACCATATTTCAGCATCTCTGCAGTTATTCCATCTTTTCCAGCATATTTCCCATATTTCAGCATCTCTGCAGTTATTCCACTTTTTCCAGCATCTTTTCCATATTTCAGCATATCTGCAGTTATTCCATCTTTTTCAGGCGATTTATTGTTTTTCATTTCTTTCAATGCCTTCTTTATTTCTGATTGGTATTATAGTTTAGACAAAATAAGTTAAATGCAAATTTATTAATCAAGTTAAATATTGTGTATGTGCATATAAGTTATAGTTTATGTTACCTTTTGATGTATCATAATGATCAATGTAGTTTGTTTCTTCTTATTGCTCTTTCCAGTGCTCTAGCCTATGTAGATCTCATGATGGGCAGCGTAAAATCACACTGGGGGTGGATGATTTCATAAAAAACCAAAGTGTTTCTCGAATTTACTTATATGATTAATAAAATACCTAAGTAAATAATAGGAGAAAAAAATATGTGTATGGAAAGAACAGAATTAGACATAGATAGTTTTGGTTTTTCAGCAGCTAACTTTTGAATAATGATCTTAAATTTTTTAACAAAAAAAAAAGATTTGAGCTTAGATTAATTTTTTTATTACAGCAATACTTTGTATTATATCATCGGCATCAGCTATTGGATTGTACTTCGCCCCAAGTTCGATATTAATGATTACCCTTTTTGGAATATACATACCCTTTGTAGATTTATCAGCAGTTGTTGGTATAACTATTACTTTGGAATTGTTTGCTACTCATTTTAGGTAAGACTTTATATTATACTATTAATTTTAAACGCAAATATTTAAAGATGGAAATAAAAATAATTGACTTGCAGTGGAAACATGAAAGAGTGTGAGGTCGCTAGAGAATTTAAGTATGTGGGCTTTAATTACACAGGTTTACAAAAAAAATATTTTTTAAAATTGTTTGGAATTTCATAACTGATTTTTATGTATTTTTCAGCGCTGATTGCAAAAATGCAATCCATTTTTTTTTCTATCACGTAAGGTTTTCTCACAAAAAAAGGAATCACTTTTTGGTATAATAACAAAATTTTTGCAATTTTTCAAATTTTTTCTTAAGTTAAAGGATTTTATTTCGTGTATAATACATGTTATAACCTACATATCTAGTACACTTACATTTCTCTTTAAGCTCATAAGTCCTTATAGTAACGCTTTTGCTTTCCGTCGAAGCTTCTTTTATTGCTTTTCCGGCTGTGTACTCGTTGAGGGTCATCTCGTTTTAGCATCCAGCAGTAGTTCGCTATCATGTTGACGTTCCATCTTCCTTGATACCTTCTTTCCATTTCCTTGATATCTTGGTAAAATGTTTCACCCTGCTCTTCACGTACATCACCAAGGTTTGCAGGGAAGTAGTCTAGATGTGAATGGAGGAAATGAACTTTAATGCTCATGTTACATCCCAGCTTGTTAAAATTATCGAGCATGTCTGCGACGATTGTCTTGTAGTTAGGATCTTTTTGTTTCCTAAGAAACAGGTAACAACTAGTTTAAAGATGTCCATGCTGCTTTTTCGTTTGTTTCCATTTGGTCCATAAAATTGGGATCTCTTATCAGTTTTCTAATGTCTGGTCCGACAAAGACTCCTTCCTTAATTTTACCTCGGATAAACCAGGAAACTGTCCACAAAGATACTTGAAACACTCCCCTTCTTTTGGTAACGCCTTTACAAATTGTTTCATTAACCCCAAATTAATGTGGAGTGGTGGTAGTAATACCTTTTTGGGATCCACAACGCTTTTCCTCTCAACATTTTTAACCCCCAACTGTAAGGTTTTTCTCAAGGGCCAAACTTTGTTAATGTAGTGTTGCTTTCTGTCTCTACTGTCTCATTCACAGGGAAAGCCAGGGAACTTTGTATAACATTTTTGTTGACCAAGCAGCATTAAGATCACTTTCAAATCACCACATAGTCTCCATTTATGGTCTGAATAGCAGAGTTTGTTTAAAACAAGTTCGAGGTTTTCATAACATTCTTTCAAATGAACAGAATGTCCAACTGGCATAGAAGCATACTTATTGCTATTCTGTAGAAGTACTGCTTTAAGGCTTCTTTTTGAAGAATCTATAAAAAGTCTCCACTCATCAGGAGCATATTCTATTTTGAAACGTGCCATAAGTCCAGAAACATCACTGCAAAGCATCAACTCACCTTCTTGAGAGAAAAAAGATACAAACTTCTTTTCCCTGGAACGATACCAAGAAAAGGACGTACCCGGAGCCAACATATTTTTATCTTTTAATCTAGACCCTAAAAGTTTTGCCGAGTCTTTAGGAAGACCTAGGTCTCTAACTAAATCATTCAGTTCAGATTGTGAGAATGGAACGCGATCGGTTGTGCCAGGATCGTAGCCATCACTGTCTTCTTCACTTTCACCTAGCTGAGCCAATGGCTCGTGGTCATCTAAAATACCATCCAAAGAAACTGGAGGAGAGGGTATTGGTACTTCAGGTCTATGAGGAACAGGGCGAATGGCTGATTTGATGTTAGGTTAAGAAATATCCTTTTTGTTTTTCAAATTGAAACCTTGAACATTGCAAGAACAAAAATAGCAGTCATCACTATGGTGTTTGGGCTCCCTGCAAACCATTGGTATTCCAAAACGAAATGACTGCTTTTTACCTTGAAACCATTGTCTCAGTTCTTCAATACACACTGAACGAACTTTGTGTGGGGCCCAAGACTTGTCTTCATCACCCAACTTTATACCAAAATAGGCAAAATATACCATTTCAACAAAATCGGAAATGTTTTTTGTTGCTTTTTAACTGTATAGTTACCACAAATGTAGCAGAAGCAATCTGGTGAGTTGATACTTCCTCTGGTAGGCATTTTTCATAAAACAACTTCACACCACAAGAAAACAATCTGTTTAGGCTGATGTCTTGAATTTATGTTCTTTGTAGTTCGATAAAAAATCACCGAAAGTTATTTGATTCACACTTTATTGCCAACTATCCGTGTGTCACGAGATATCATTTAATACTACTCTCACAATCACTACTACAAATCACTAGTAACCACAGCACGTGAACAGCACAGAGTGAAGAGATACTGTGAACTGAAGAACAGGTAGCAGAAGCTCACTGCTTGGTGATGGAGAGGGGGATGGGCACTGTGGCAGACAGACACTGACATAAAAGATGCTCAGTGAGTCAGTAAGTGGATGGCGAGGGAGGGAAGGCAATGGACAAGTACCGACATGAAAATAATGCTGGTTTCTCTTAATCAACTCTTTATTTTACATACAACTTGTATAGTAAAAAAATAGCTAAGTAACTGAAAATACCTTGAAGTATTTTTTATACTTATTAAAAGTACTATGAGCTTAATAAATAGTTCATAAAGATCCAAAAAACAAAACTTCAAACTCACTAGAGTACGAAACTATGTATAAAAATATCGAAAAAAAAACCAAAAATAGACAAACAGTTTGTGGAATAACTGTACGTGATGAAATATTTTCACTATTTTTCCCAAAATTATCCTTGAAAATACTATAAAAATCACTTATTCAATTTTAAACCATTTTTATGTCGCAGACCTGTGTTATCAATGGTAAAGCACTCGCACACAAAATAGATCGACGACCTATAATGGGTAGGTAAGTTATAGCAAACTTTACAACTATATGGAAAGGCGACTTTATTACAAAAACCACAAAACTACGCTTTGGTCGACCATTACTTTTTCTTACTTCCATTTACTCCCGAGACTGGTAAACCATTAAATAACCAGATAGGAAACATATTTAAAATATACTAAGGGATCCAAATCTAGATCGACGTTCGCCCATCTTTTTACCGAATGAAACCTTTGTTATCAACTTTCATACATAGAAAAATACGTCTCGCATGCATTGCTTATCAAAATAAGATATGTTTATAGCCATTTTTAATTAAAAAAATATAAATTTACTTTTTTGTTTACTAATTTTGTTTTTGTTTACTAATCAAATAGTATTTAAACTAAAAGTTTAAAACATATAAAATAGGTATATGGGGTATTGCCTACGTGTTTAAGTTCATGTCTACTGGCAAGCAAGTATAAACAGGTAAGCAAATATAAATGATTGCACCGATCTGTTTGCCAATCAAAATATGTATCAAAATAAAGATTATTTAAATTATGAAAAGGTTGCCATGTGTGCCATATGTGACTCCATAATACTAGTATATGGAAAATGAGTCAATACTCACTATCTAAAGTAGTTTTTTTTTAATAAAGTTGGTAAATTTTAGGCTACCGGTTTCAAGGCTTACAAGATTTTCCCCATCATCACTATCAAGTACGCTAGTCTTATTTTTTAGCTGTTAAAATATTGAGTGAAATATTTTTAAATAAATAAATGACGTTTACGTTTCGATTCTCTTACCATTCTCTTACACGTGTTTCTGGGTCTACCCGTCATCAGAGAGAGTTTGCAAGAAGACTTAAACCAAATCAAAACGCACCGACTACCAAGGCAATTATAGGAAAATAATTACCAGAGTATGCTACTAGAGACCTCTAGTGAGGAGATATGAAGTTAAATATCAATAGCAATTAAAGTAAACTGTATACCCAAGCTTAATCAAGCCATTCAGAGCGATGCTGAGAATATTATATTCCACTATGCATCAACAATTTACCCATATAAATTACTATCATTTTTGTAGTCACTGCGTCGAGTAAGGACAATAACAAAATAAATGATGGTTGTGTTTCGATTTAATCTGAGTCTCTTACCATTCTCTTACGCCTGTTTCTGGGTCTACCCGTCATCAGAAAAAGTTTGCCAGAAACTCAAACCAAATCAAAACGCACCGACTAATAAGGCAATTATAGGAAAATAATTACCAGAGTATGCTACTAGAGACCTCTAGTGAGGAAAGACTTTAATTGCTATCGATATTTAACTTCATCTTTCCTTACTAGAGGTCTCTAGTAGCATACTTTGGTAATTATTCACTTCTCACAGAAATTTATCCAGCAACTACAGAAATAATATGCACTATTTTATTCGCGTCTGCGGACGTAGTTGCAGATGTATCATCACAAGTTAACCACACATCTGGACACATCTGTAAATCGTTCCCGTTAATTCCCGGGAGACCAACATCTAGGCGAAACAACAGATGATCAAATTACCCCATCTACTTATCTCCAGATGCATACGTAGACGTGCCGTCTGTGGATGTGTAGAGGAGCCTTAAGACTGAAGAACGACCTACATCATGTACTTGTGCAAAACTGCGTGAGGATGTATGTAGATCTTCAACAAAACTTTTCATTATATCTAGTTTTGTTGTCATCCATAACTCTTTTCGGTCTACCTGATCGGTATCTATCTAGTAAATTCGTAATTCGTAATTCCAAAAATTCTAAATTGCTTGTCATTATTTTACATAATTTGGTGTAAATGTTCGGTGTTATTTAGAAGAGGTATTTCCCGGACGATCTATTGGTAGACGAGGTAGAATTGAATGACCTCCACGTTAACCTGATTTCAATCCTTAAGATTATTTTTATTAGGCATACTTGAAAAATTCAGTTTACAAAACTAAACCAGCAAGTCTTGCAAAACTAAGGCAACAAAATATCGATGAATCTCGAATAATTTCTAGACAATCATGGAAAAATATGGCAGACGCATTCTACGATCGATTAGGCTACTGTCAAATCACAAATAGAGCACATTTTGAACACCTCATAAAGTAACCAATATGTAAAAAATGTTGTTATCTATCAATTGTTACGTTTTAATGTAGTTAAAAATAGTTAGTATTAAAAAATTTTATTGAGACAATTAGGCGTTGCCAGACTTTATGTTTTATATATTTAAGACCTTCCAGACTACATAAATCATAAGTGTTACATATGAAGGGTACAGGTCTATAAAGAGCTAAGTCACCAAATGTTTATTTCGTAAAAAACGAAGTTTAAATTTTAAAACCAGTTATTGATAAATATTTATGGTTATCATGACATCTATTGATTAGATCAGTTACTTAAGTAATTAATGAAACACACAGAAGAAATTAAATTTATAGTGATATTATAAAAAATAGAACAGAACCTTTAATTGGTCAAACCACCAAACATTATTGGCCTAAAGGGGCCAAGTCCAAAAAAAACAAGTTAAAATGACAAGTAGACAAAAGTTATTAATATGAAATAATTCTAATTCTTAGGCAGGTTATCAAAAAATTGTTTTGCTTCGTCACCACAGAATAGTTTCAAATCTTGTAGGCATTTAAATTTTTTAGCCGAGATTGGTAAAAGATCTAAAAATAATGTTGTTTAATAATAGTATTACAAGATATTAATAATTTTTTATACCTGAATAAGAATACGGAGGAAGTTCAAATTTATTTTGTAGTAGCACTGGTCCCTTTCGTTTACTATCTTTTTCCTTCACTATTGCTGACTCCCATGCTCCATTATAGGACTCCCGGTAATATATCAATCTACGATGATCTTGATGTATTTCTAATTCTCGAATTGGACGGGAACTGAAAGGACATTTCTTCAAATAATCTGTTTTCGTATTAAAAAAATTCGTCCATGCTCGAAAGTAGGATCAGAGAACATACAAACACATGCGTTCGTAGTTCTCTGGTAGGATTGATCTATTTCCACAACGTCAAAGGGAGTTGGTTTTGCACGAGCACTTCTAAAAATTTCAACTCAATCTAAAGGAATCTCAGCTCGTTGTTTGGAGTTTATTAAGCCCATATTTTTATCCGGTTCCATATAGGAATGGCCATGAATAGGGAAAGTAACTTTAACATAATCAAGTCTACGTGTATTGTGGACAATATAATGCAAAAAACGAAACATGATCAAATTTTTATTTTGTCTCCCACACGAGTCGCAGAATATTTCAAGCGATCTTACTTGTATATCGAGAAAATTCCAAAGAAAGTCATTCAGCATTGAGCATACATCGTCGCTTCCCTTTTTGCCAATTGTTTCCGGGTAAATGTAAAACACACTTTTTGCTGTAGATAGAATGTGGACATTAAAGGCATAGACGTTCAGCTGGCTCTTATAGTAAACATCGTTTGTTGTTATGTTTGGGACACTGAGATTTTTTCCAAAATCGAGACAAATAGCTTCGTGAGTCACAGAGGTTCGACTTTTTTTTTTCGCAGCTCTTTTTCTACTGTAAAATACCTCAGCCTTTCTTTTTTGTACATCATTTTGTATCGTAAGCTGGCGTATTTCCTTTTGCAAGCGTTCATTTTCAGCAAGATCGAAACTACTGTTTAAAATATCAGACTGAAGAGATTTTATTTTTATAAGAAACTCATCACAGGAACTACATGTATCAGTTCTGGGATATCCAAAGGCTATGTTAAATTTTGTATTAATCACTGTTAAAAGATATTTTCATAGAAGGGTTCAACTCGCAAAACATTTTGAACATCTTTTTTATGTTTAACTCTTCAGGTAAGTATAATTTTTTACTATCATTCACACTATAGTGGCTTTTCCTGCCTTTAAATGACTTTATATGTTCGTATATTGCTACAAGAACGTTGGATTCCAATTTTCTAGGATGGTTTTTATTTTCTCCCCTTTTATCTTTAGGGGCGACTCCAGTCATTTTTAGTGAATTTTGTAATATCTCTATTTTTTTCCTTTACTCCATGAATGGACATAAAAGCTTGTCTACAAATATTTATTTCTTTTAAGCTATTATCAGTGCTAAAACGTACCCTGTAGGAATATGCAGCACTTCTCAAATTTGCTTCGTTTTCATCTTTCCTAGGCCTTCTTCGGCGAATAGGCAGTACTGTAATCAATCCACATAAGTACGAGTTCTGCTCATTAATAGAAGTCATTGTGTTAAAATTTTTGAGTACAGTTTTTCTTGCTTCTTCGGGTACATTTTGAAAACATTGTTTACGACAATTACAGGTTGCACCTACCTTGTGACTCTGCAGTCTAATTTTTTTCATGACATCTCTCATTCTGCCGTGCTTTTTCCTTTTTTTTTGATTCATTCTGTTTAGGCACTACTTCAGTCTCATTTCCACTACTATTGTTTTCTGTATTCATTGTTATTTACTTTTAAATCACTTAAAAAACAATGAAAACAAACTAAACCGACGAACCTAACTCTAAACTGCGCGTATTAGATTAACGTCTATTAGCTGTTTATATGGACTTTACCCTTTTAGGACCTGCCTGATAAGGACTTGCCCCCTATTGGTGGTGTATGCGTAAATTAGAATTAGTATTTCACGGGAACTAAGCGCTTTTAGGACGTGTAACCAGTCGCTGACAACTTCTACGTTAAAATTGCTACAAGATGGCACCACTAGATCTATTTATGAAAAATTGCGACTTGCCCCCTTTTGGCCCTGTACCCTTCATATGATTAAACTCGTGTTGAAGAGGAGATTCCAATAATGACTCAATATACAGGGTGATGAATTTGAAAACCCAAAGTTACAAATAATATAAGAGAAACGGCAAATCTGGTAACATTGCAAATATTAAATATGAAATTTTCGTATCCCAAAATAGGTGTACCTCAAATTTTGTACAATTATAACTACCAATTTACGAGATAATTGGCCGTTTCCAAACTTTTGGGCCACTCTATATAAATAATGTACTATATAATAATTTTATTATTTACAGAACCTTAGCTGTATCGTTTCATTTAATGTCAGCAAGAATTGGATCTATATCAGCGAATATGTTGTTTTCTTCGCTTGTGGCTACTGGATGTATTACACCGTTCCTTCTTTGCTGCATATTAACAGCAAGTAAGTAACAATAAAATTTATAGACAACTAGAGGGTTTAGCAATGGGAAATTCACCATCTCCTCTACTTGTAGATTTTTCTCTATTCTTTTAAAAATACTTTTATCCATTCTCAACCACAAATAATCTATGGCATAGATACGTGGTTGATATTTTAGCCTTCGTAGAAGGTGCACATTTCGTAGAACCACACAACATTTTGTCACTAATTAATAATTTACATCATGTAATTAACTTTACCTTAGAGTTATAAAACAACATTATCAACTCTTCAGATTTAACCAATAAAAAGAAGTTTTCCCCCTCATCTTTTTTGCTTGCTAAAAAAGGACGTGTTGGGGATGTCTAAATAAGTCACTAAAGGGATTTGTAACATATCATGTACCTGAAAGTCACCAGCAGATCAAGAAGAGAGAATTGTAAGAAACCAATTGAAGACCTCGGTGCAAGAACCGGGCAAGTCCATTTTTTAACTGAAACTGAGTTATTGCATTCAGCATAGAAAATTTTAAGTTGCGCATATTTTAGTATAAGAATCGGGTAAATCCAACGAATATTCATTAAGTTAGCATAGCAAAGGACTTATCCGATCATCCATTACGGTGCAAGACTCAGGCAAGTCCAAAAGATATCTGATTTTAGCACCGAAATGGTCGCGTGTAGTGGGAGATGTCGGAGTAGGTATAACGCTGAATGGTCCAGTGGTACTGGTGTAGTGTTTAGGTATTTTGTTTTCAGTTGTGAGAATTTGTTAGAAAGAACAGGTCGTAATTTTGTGTTTAGTATAATACGTTTTATAATGTCGTCGGAATCAGAAATCGAGAGCGATCCTTTTCAAGATTCGCGTAGTGAATATGCTCCGAGTGATTTGGATCAACCTAGTATAAGTCGTGGATCGAAAAGAACGGAAATTAAAACAAAAAAGCGAGTTCGCAGACGTTTGGATCGGACAACATTAACAGAGAAGAGAGGTAGAAAACGAGTGAGAAACGAAAGTGCGTGGCAAATAAATGTAAGGAAATCGTTAAAAGCCTGCGGAGAGCCTTGTAACTAAAGAAACAGTGGAAATACGATGCACTTGCCGACTTAAATGTTTTGACAAAATTGACGAAACGAAAAGATTGTCTATTCTCTCCTCTTTTAACGAATTAGAAAATAAAGAGAAGCAAGACTTATATTTGGGTGGATTGATTTCTTTAAAATCAGTGCAAAGAAAACGGCCAAAATCAGGACAAAAAAATCCAAAAGAAGTTTCATTTTCATACAAGGTATGTTTTAGTAGTTGTTTTTTACTTTACTTTATTTTAGTTAGTATTTTTTCAACAAGAATTTTATTAAATCAGAACATTAATAAGTTTAATATTTATTTAGTACTACATAGTTTACAAACAAAAAATTGTCAACTTTTACAGATTTATTACCAGTCTCTTACATAGTTAAGAGTTATTTTTTGTGATAAGCCTAATCTTGATTCGAGTAAATACAATCCAACATTAATATACTATTATGTTACGTAATGTACATAATGTACATGATGTTAGAAATGTAATATAATATTAAAATATACTGTTATACTAATAATATTGTGTTTCGTTACAGATTCGTTTTGGACATACTGAACATAAAGTCTGTAAAAAGGTGTTTTATGGTATTCATGGCATGACCAAACATCGGGTTGATCGTCTTGCTTCATCACTGAAAACTGGGATGTCCGCCCCACCTGATATGAGAGGAAAACACATGAATCGACCTAACAAGATGCCAGAGGAAATATTGCTGAACATAAAAAATCATATAAACAGCTTCCCAAAGCGGAGTTCCCATTATAGCCGGAAAAAAAAATGATTTCAAGTTTTTTCTGCCTGCAGAGTTAAATATTTCGAAGATGCATAAGCTGTATTTGGAGAAGTTAATTAAGAAGTTAATTAAAACGTATTATTTACAATAAAAAATCCAAAACAGTACATTGTTTCATTTTTATTTTTAACACGCGGGATTTTTGGAACAAAAAACAGGCAAGTCCATTTTTTCAAAACAAAATTGTTGCGTCTACAATATGAATTAAAAGTAATGATTGAATAAATAAGACTTGTCTAATGTTCCTCTAGAAGGATTAATTTAATTAAATGTAATTTATTCACATTTTCTAAAAATATTAAGTTTTTTTCGATTTCCCAACAATTTAGAAAAAGTGGAGTTGCCCGGTTCTTGCACCGAGGTCTTCAATAGACTATGTATTAGTTAGACCAATACAGGAACGCAATTATATGCGCAAAAACCTATCCAACACAGCATCAGATCAACAACCCAGTAGTGATCAAAATTAGGCTCAAAATGAAAATAATAAAACGAAGAACAACAAATGCAAAAATCGATACAAGTAAATTAAGGAACCCACTCATAAGGCAACGCCTGGCAAAAGAAATCAATAACGGATTAATGAATGTTAAAGAACAAATTCTGCAAATTACTGAGACGGTAAAAATGGTTATTAATAAAGACAGAAATAGATAAAAGTCAAAAAGAAATTCTAATACCAACCAGATATAAAAACAAAGATAATTAGATGTACAAAAAGTGGATAAACAAATAAAATACAGAATTAAGAAAGCGAAAAAAACAATGGTTAAAAGAACAATGCGCAGAAATAGAAGAATACCAGAAAAGACATGATAGTTTTAACACACATAAAAAAATTAAAGAACTAACTCACAATAATAGAACTAGGAAACTGGAATACTGAAAGATGCAAATGGAAAACTTGTGTTGAGTATTAACGACAAAATAAAGAGATGGGCAGAATGGAGCAGATGGAGATAGAAGTGGAAGAGGATATGGTTTTTAAAGATATTAAAAGAGGAAATTAAAATGGCATTAAAACAGAAAAAATGGTAAAGCAGTAGGTCCAGACCAAATCCCCATAGAAATGTTAAAATGCATAAATGATTTTTTTTTATTAACATTTAAAAATTTTACAATCTGTTTTGCAGTGAAAACAATAAGTAAAATTTTTTGTCTTTACATGACAGAGAGATGTAAGGTCCAGTGACCAAATCATCACGACACAAATTGGCTTGTTTACCGGTAGGATGCGCACATACACTGATACGCGAGCACTAAAAGCGGCACTGATCACAATGGCTGGGTGCTGTTGAAGGCGTAACTCCACTGCTGTAGGCTCTGTCAGGATCGGTGAGGTAGGTCCAAGGGGTCATGTCGCTTCAATCTCTTCGCTTGTTGGTTGTTGAGAAGATTGTGTGCCAGGGTATTAGGATGCACCCGCAACATGTTTTGATATTGTTCAGAAGATTTTTTGCACTCTTCAGAGACTGTTAGTACCTGAAGATCTCTATGTATTGCATCATTCTGGATATACCAAGGTGCATTAGCGATTGTTCTCAGAGTTTTGGATTGAAATCTTTGTATTATCAATATATTAGATTTGCTAGCTGAACCCCAGAGCATAAATGATGAAACCTTAGACATTATAGTAGACTTATTTAACTCGGTATACAAAACAAGACACATACCGAAACAATGGTTACTCTCTACCTTTTGTGCTATCCCTAAAAATACAAACGCTAAATATTGCAGTGAATACAGAACAATATCACTAATAAGTCACATTCTCAAATTATTCTTAAAAATAATACATGTTCGTATAAATAAAAAACTTGAAGAAGGATTAGATGATAGTCAATTTGGATTCGGAAACGGACTAGGAACCAGAGAAGCGTTATTTGCTTTTAATGTGTTAGCTGAAAGATGTATGGATAGGAATGTTGATATGCATCTTTGTTACGTTGATTTTAAAAAGTAATTTGACAAAGTAAGACATAAAAAATTAGTCCAGAGAGTAAAAGCACTGAGATGCTACGTATTTTCGATACCGCATTATGGGCTTGAAAGCTATACACTGAAGCAAGAACACATAAATAAGTTACTGTCCTTTGAAATATGGTGTTATAGGAGAATGCTCAGAATAGCATGGACATAGAAGAAAACTAACACGGAAGTATTGCGAGAAATGTGTAAAGAATGCGAAATAATACACACAATAAAAATAAGAAAGTTACAATATCTAGGACAGGTAATGAGGGGACAGCGAGATGAACTGCTAAGGCTGATAATACAGAAAAAGATAAAAGGAGGAAGGGGTATAGAAAGAGGGACATTGTCAAGGTTGAAGAATTTAAGTGACTGGTTTAAATGCAGTTATATAGAACTCTTCAGAGCTGCAGTAGATAGAGTAAAGATAGTGATGATGATATCCAACCTCCGATTGGGAAGCTTCACTTAAAAAAGAAGATGTCATTAACACAACTTGCAGCTGTCATACATTCATTCCTCACATTCCTCAACAAAATCACGATTGAGCTCTAAATGCTACATTATGCGAGTCTGTCACCCAATGCTGCTACTACCAACTTAAACGTTGATGACAGAAGTCCGCAGTCGAAGGAAGCACTAGTCGTGAAGGAATGAAATTAGTTCAAAGGCTCGAATGCGACGGTATAGTGTACGCATATTAATAGGTCTACCTTCAGTTCCAAATTATTGGTCAGCGATTTGACGCGCAACAGAAAAACAGTCTCGCAGAGTTAGTAGTCTAAAGCGCATATCTTAACTATCTGTGGTGTGTCCTAAGTTAACCAGTTAGTTTATCCACAACACCGACATACACGTCACAGTATAGACAACAACCAGTATTCCCACTCCACTTTGGCGCGAAAGTTCGCGCATTTTACTCGCGCAGACAGCGACGCCATTTTCTCTGGCGTCCGAAAAATTTCACGGCTCTCATTGGCCATTGTCCATTGTCATTTGTCAATAATATAGAGGCCATTCTGGCCATTGTATTTGTTTACTTTTTGTGTATTTATAGATACAAATAATCTTTATACATTTTTTATTTCGCAATTACATTATATAAGTACGTCGATATGTACAAAAATAAAACCAAAAAGCCTTGCCACACTTATGCAACTACAAAGTGTTGTAATAATTGTAGACAAAGTAATGTTAGTTTTTTTCGTTTCCAAAAGATGTTAATAGATAGGTGAGTGTTAAATTAGGATTAAAATTGTGTATTACAGATGTTAAGATGTTATATTATTTATTAACGGTGGATTTTCATCGTCTATTAAAAAATGTTTGTATTTAGGGCAAAAATTTGGTTAATGGCATGTGAACGAGAAGATTTATTGGATAAGACAGAACGTCTACATAGAAGTCGTCGTCTTTGTGGTACTCATTTCGACAATAAGATGTTTCTGAATATGAAAAGTCGATTACAACCTTCTGCAGTTCCCACAAACTTTCCTTTAATGGAGGGCTCATCAACTTTTGATCATACTTATTCTGCAATAGTCTAACACATATGTCTGCCAAGATCTCCTATTAATGAAGGTAAATAAAATAAATAATTAAGATGTAACACATATGTAAGCTTTCTCTTTTTCTTTTAGAAGTAGTGAAAAGTTCAGCTATGGATATAGAGAAAAATGTTAGTATTAAACATAAACCATCCACTATAACTGTACTTCAGGATATTACTATTACTCCTGTTAAAAACAACATATTCTATGAAGAACCTGAACATGTAACTACACGTCCAGTAACACCACTTAGTACAACACCAAGTTCAACTCAAGTGTCACAACAATTATCAGTGAATACTCCCCGAAAAAATGTATTACAAAGTACAGTTATACAATTACGGAAGGAAAATCATTATTTAAAAAAAATTCAGAAGTTACAGTCTAAAGAAAAGAAATATATTGACAATGTGACAATTGAAGACTATATGGCACTTACATCTAAATTATGTCCTTTTGCAAATATAGCTAATTTCATTAATTTTCAAATTTTACAATCTAGAAAAAAGGTAAGAGGTAGAAGATTTAGTAATCAATTTAAACAAGAATGTCTCTTAATGTACTTCACTGGACCAAAAGTTTATAGAAATGTTTTGTGCAAAAAATTTTGTTTACTTAGTCCTAATACATTATTTAAACACATACAACATATTATCTAACTTCTCATGCATGCAAATCACTGCTCATGATATATAATTTGTTTAACTTCTGAAATTCTAAACTACAAAATGATACTTTGTATAACTTAATGTGTACTTACTTATTTTATTCATGTATATTTTATTTGTAATTGTATAGGTATATTGTATATATCTATAATATTATATTTTTGTATATTTTGACAGTGGGTAATAAATTTTATAACACATGTGTGGATATTTAATGAAAAAATGTATAGAATTCCATAGTTGTGAAATGTGTGACAGATACTCAAAAACTGTAACTAATTTGTCAGATACTACTGTATATTCATGTTTAAGGGATATGAAAATAGAACTGGTGAAACATTTGGTAATCTAAAAATGGCGATTGGTGATTTTGTTAACTATATTAGTATACTTGACTGTCTCTTTCACAAGAATTTTGGCATATTAGCCAAATATATGTTTCTCTATTTAGTACCTTAAATTTTAGCCACCCTTGTGAACAATTTCCACTAAAATATTGTATAACTTTATTTAGCTGTGTACGTTTGTACTATTCATTAAAATTCATAAAGAGAAATTTCAAGACTAAAAAACATGAAAATATAACCAAAAGAAAAAATAATAAATTGATTATTTGGAAACATCAATAAAACATTATTTACTTGTTTATAATAATGTAAAAAGTCAAAATACTCTTTTTTATTACAGTGATCAGATAATATCGATTAATACTTAATGTACCTATCTAGGGGGTTTCTTCACATTCTCTTATGTTTTTAGAGAGATGTAACTAAAATATTTTATCATATTCCATAAAAATGTATTAGAGCATTACTTCTAATTAATTAATAATTAATTATATTGACATTAATCAAGATCAAGTAAACAGCATTGTAAAATATCATTCAAAATCACATTTGAACAAAAGCAATTGTTTATAGAATAATCCATACTCCTGAATTGCTTTAGCTAATTTCTTTTCATATTCCTTCCCGTTCACTGCGTCAGAATTTACATTTCCATGTATCTCATCGCAGAACTAATTATAGTTCAAATATAGGTATGATCTGACTTCCATACATGCAAATCAGTGCTCATGAGATATAATTTGTTTAACTTTTGAAATTTAAACTACAAAATGATACTTTGTAAACTTAATGTGTACTTACTTTATACATGTATATTTAATTTTTATCTGTAATTGTATTTATCTACAATGTATTTTTGTATAATTTTGACAGTGGATCTGTCACCTTTGTTATTAATAAATAAATGTAATATCTAATGTAACACGTAATAATAAATGAAGTTTATTTAAAAATTTATTTTTTATTTCCACAAATCCATTCTTAACATTAACCGGATGGCGCTACTTTGAGCACTTTGTATGATTCCGTTAGATGTCTAATGTACATCAACAAGAATTGTTAGAAAAAACTCAAAGAAAATTTGTGTTATGAAGTACAGTTATGAAATTATAGAAGGAAAACCATTATTTAAATAAAAAATTCAGATATTACACTCTAAAGAAAAGAAATGTGTGGATAATGTGACAATTGAAGACTATATGGCACTTACATCTAAATTTTGTACTTCATTAAATTTAACTAATTTCATAAATGTTCAAATTTTACAGTCTAGAAAAAAGGCAAGAGGTAGAAGATTCAATAATCAGTTTAAACAGGATGTCTCTTAATGTACTTCAAGGGGCCAAAAGTTTTACAAAAATATTTTGTGTAACAAATTTTGTTTACCCAGCCCTAATATATTATTTAAAAATAATATACCAGACAGCTACACAAAAAGTGTAACTAATTTATCGGATACAACTGTATATTTATATGTTAATGTATATAAAAATAGAACCGGTGACACATTTGGTAATCTAAAAATCCCTACTGGTGATTCTGTTGACTTTATAAGTAGGTATACTTGGCAATTCGCTTTCAAAATAATTTTGACATATTAGCTATACAGCCAATTATTATTACAACATGTTTCTCGATTTATTACAACTTTTAGTCACCTTTTGAACAAAGTCCACTCAAATATTGTACAACTTTATTTAGCCGTGTACGTTTGTACTATTTATTAAAATTCAATAACAGAAATTTCAATACTCAAAAATATGAAAATAAAACTAAAAGAAAAAAACATAAAATAATTATTTGGAAACATCAATAACACATTATTTAATCGTTTATATCGAAATAACAAGTCAAAATAGTCTATTACAATGACCAGGTAAGATCAATCACTAATCAATATACCTATTTAGGAGTTTTGTTCACATCCTCTTGTGTTTTTAGTGAGATATAATTAGAATATATTAACTAATTCCAAACTCTGTATTTGAATTTTGAAATGAAACTTTGCATTTTATTCTACTTTATAAACATGCAGCTTTAAAACTAGCATGTTTATTAAAAACTGTTGCATAACTCTCCATTTGATTTTTTTATAGTGTATAAGGCAGTTCTGTAACAAATAGTTGTGAAACGTTAGAAAACAAAATCATAAACACAACGTAGTGAAAGAAACAATTTTAGGTTTGTTTTTTAATTTCTCGAAGAATGAAAGAGTAACAAGAAAAAAGTTTTGAAATTGGTTGAAATTAAAATCAATTTCGTTAAATAAATTTTCAAAATAAATCAAAGTCGGCTCTGTCGCGTCCATATGTGCAGTGCCAGTCCTAGGTTTTCATCCAAACAATATGGCGTCAAGGTCACCGAATTTGGACGAAAAAGATCAAAGGTACCGCCGCACAGTGAGAAGACTGGTTGTTATTTATACCTGGTGTACACGTAAAAAATCACAGTTATTGACGTACAATTAACACCACGGGATTCGACAAACAAAACTGTTTTCGACTGTCAAAATCGTCAACATGGTGGTAATTTTGATGTCTTCGAACTCGAGGGATTTTCTTACACTGAATACAATTAGACTAAGGATTAATAACTAAAAATTTCTGTACCATCTGGTCTTCATAAATCTTCACAAAAAATTGAAAGATAACACAATATTTTCACAAAACGTAGAAAAGACAAAACGTTTATATTGATATCATATCATGCTTTAAATATAGTTATTATTCTGTTGCCAATAAATTAAGTTATTATACAAGAAATTATTTCGAGTGTAACACTTTTAATGTCACTGATCATATTTTCATTTTTAGCAATATGTTTTGCAACTATTCTATATCCTAATACCGAAAATAAAGAACTGGAGTAGGGAGGAGATCAACCAATAATAGAAAGATAGGTTATGTTAGGTATTTCAGGGATATTTTCACTATTTATTGTAAATAAAGATTTTTTTTATAATTTATGATGAGATATTAAGTTGTTATTTCTTATTTATATGAATAAATTAATATTTTTTTAAATAAATCTAGTTTTGTTTGTGTTTTATTTGTAGTTTAATAAATAAAGTTAGTACATGCATAAATTTTGGGCTTTGACATAATCGAAGTAAATGGCACCATTGTTTGTCCTCCCAATTAAATGCCTCGTTTAGGTGCTACATTTAAAGCCACGTACGAATATATTTTACACATTATTTATAAAGCCTAGTCTGGCTTTGACCGTCCAAGTATATAGACGTATTCAGAGCTCCGCTATCTAATCAGTGGTAATTAAGTAGTAATTAAGATATCATTAGTCGTGAGTGCTATCAATGGCCATGGTTGTAAGCTATCGCGATAAATTCAAGTTAACTTAGGTAAGCGAAATATTTAAATATTTATAATGTTTCCTATTCATACCGAAATGGACGCACTACTAGTCCAACAAAATAATGCGATGTTCGCAGAAAATACACAACGTTCACAAAATGAGCAGTCTCTTTATAATGCATGGTGTCAGTCGGAAGAAAATGTTAAGAGACTTAACATGGATAATCAACGGTTGAGTCAAATAATCGCCGATATGGAAAAGAGATTAGCACAGCTGGAAAAAGCCGAACAACATACAGGGTTAACCGCAAGTGCTGATGAATCACAAAAGAAATTAAAAACAGATAAACTTGAATACTGCACCGATGAAGAAGATTTAGCGTATGAAACGGGCTGGATAAGAACCGAAAACAGGAAAACTAACAAAAAACGTAAAATGGATACCTCATTATCTCCTCCCTCTCCGCAAAAATCAAGTGCAGAAACACAAATAGAAAAACCATTCAAAAAACCAAAACCACCACCTCCGGTTGTAGTAGAAGGTTTTCAAAGTGCTGTTGACCTGAGCAAGCTTCTAACTGAGGCTGGTATTACCTTCACTATGAAAATCATAAACAGTGAAGTTATAAAAATTAATACAGCCAATAGCGATCATTACAGAGCTTTAATAGACACATTAAATACGAGTAACATTTCGTACCATACTTATGAAAATAAGCAAGAGAGACCAATTAGAGTTGTTGTTAAGAAATTACATCACACATGGCCACCAGAGGAAATAGTAAAAGACCTACAAAAACGACAATATAAAGCCATTAAAGCTGACAAGAAATTCAAATGGAAAACTAAAAAACCACTAGATATGTTCATCCTAACATTTAGACAAGATGAAGATATAAATAGAATTTACGGCATAACAGACATACTTAGTACGAGAGTTGAAATCGAGCCATTAAGGAGTTCCAGATTAGTCCCACAATGTAAAAGATGTCAGGCTTACGGACACACGTGGAAATACTGTAAAAAGGAGCCAAGATGTGTAAAATGTATTGGTAAACACCTTACTAAAGATTGCCAAAAACCACCAGAAGATAAACCAAAATGTGTTCATTGTGGAGAAAACCATCCTGCAAACTACCGCGGATGTTATGTAGCTAAAAAATTACAAACAATAAGAAACGAGAGAACAAACAAAAACAATGTTATAAAAGCACCCCATAGAGTTATTGAAAGCAAAAAACTAAAAACGGCAGAGGTCAGTGAAAATAGAAGTTACAGTGATGTAACAAAGAATGCAAGGAGACATGCATCATCGCAACAAGAAAAAGAAACTGATATTACATTAAAAATGATATTGGAACAGCTCACCAAGATTGATAACAAAATAACTCAAATCGATATCAGAGTTACCCGACTAGAGCATAGCGCTAAAGGAGCTATTCCGAAAATCAGAAATGGCTACTAAAGACCTCCGAATAATGGCGTGGAACGCAAATGGACTGTTACAACATCAGATCGAGTTGCAAGCAGTACTAGATATTGAGAAAATTGATCTGTGTCTCGTTTCTGAAACACACTTCACTAAACAGTCATATGTTAAATTTAGGGGGTATAGAGTATATTCTACTGTACACCCAGATAATGCAGCTAAAGGAGGAAGCGCTATTATAATTAAAGATAACATCTTGCATCATGAGGAATTAAAATATGCAACTGAGCACATACAAGCTACAACAGTCTGTGTGAAGATGAAAACACATACCTTAAATATAAGTTCAATATATTGTCCTCCTAGACACTCCATTAAAAGAGAGCAATATAAAGAGTTTATGAACACTTTAGGAAAAAGATACATCATCGGTGGGGACTTTAATGCAAAAAATACCCACTGGGGCTCTAGGCTAACTACAACTAAAGGAAAAGAACTATTGTCAGCTGTTAAGGAACAAAAGGGTGAAGTAATCTCTACTGGTAGACCAACATACTGGCCTACCGATAGGAACAAAATTCCAGACCTGATAGATTTCTTTATTTACAAAAATATCTCAGCTAACTATCTGGATATCAATGACGGCTGGGACATGAACTCTGATCACTCACCGATAATTCTAACTATGAGTGATACAGTGATTAAAAAAGAGTTCAATCCAATATTGACTAATAAGAAAACTGACTGGGAGAGCTTCAAAATAAACCTTGAACACAAAATTAATCTTGCTGTTCCATTAAGAAACACGAGGCAACTTGATGACGAATTAGAAGTTTTTATAAAAAATATCCAACAGTCAGCTTGGGAAAATACTCCCACAATAACTTCTAGAACAAAAGGGAACAATTATCCAAAAGAAATCAGAGAACTCATAGTAGAAAAAAGGAAGTTAAGAAAAAAATGGCAGCAATACAGAGTTCCACGAGACAAAACTAGTCTAAATAATGCTACACAAAAACTAAAAAGGGAGATACAGAATATAAAAAATTCAACAATTAATTATTTTTTAAGTAATTTAACAGCTGACCAGAACACAGATTATTCTTTATGGAAGGCAACAAAAAGATTGAAGAGACCAATTATTCATTCCCCACCTATCAAGTTGGAAAACGGCAACTGGGCTAGAAGTAATGAACAGAAAGCAGAACGATTTGCAGATCATTTAGAAAGCACGTTCAAACCCAACGACAATGATAGTGAAGAACTGAGATGGGAAGAACCATTCCAAACTGACGAAAGAATAACATTGACATCACTTAGAGAAGTATCAACAGAGATAAAAGAGAATATAAATCCTAAGAAAGCTCCAGGATATGATCTCATAACAGGAGAATTATTAAAAAATCTACCAAGAAAAGCCATAGTTAAGCTGACACACCTAATAAATGCTGCTTTTAGATTGAGATATGTTCCCAGACTCTGGAAAGTAGCCGAAGTAATTATGATCGCCAAACCAGGTAAATCTCCTAATGAAGTGACATCCTATCGACCAATATCCCTCCTTCCGGTGATGTCAAAACTATTTGAAAAACTTCTATTAAAAAGATTAAAACCAATAATAGAAAGAAAAAATCTTATACCAAATCATCAATTTGGTTTCAGAAATCAACATTCCACTATAGATCAAGTTCACAGAATAACGAATATAATAGAAAAAACATTAGAAGAAAATAAAGTCTGCTCTACAATCTTCTTGGATGTAGCACAGGCGTTTGATAAAGTCTGGCATGACGGTTTAAACTATAAACTAAGAACGTTCATGCCTAAACAGTATTCAGAAATCTTGGAATCATACATTGCGAATAGATATTTCAGAGTAAAACAAGAAGAAGTGTACACCGACTTAAGGGAGATCAAAGCTGGCGTGCCACAAGGAAGTGTCTTAGGTCCGGTCCTGTACCTATTGTATACGTGTGACATTCCAGAGCTAGAACAAAATACTATTGCCACCTTCGCGGATGATACAGCCATACTAGCGATAGGAGACACTAGTAAAGAAGCGACTGATAAATTGCAACTATCAGTAAATAAAATACATAACTGGACCAGAAAATGGCGAATAAAATTAAATGAGACTAAATCTGCACACATTAACTTTACAAATAAAAAAATAGAAAATTTCCCAGTTAGAATAAATGATACCCGAATTCCTTATACAACATCAGCAAAATACTTGGGCATCACCCTAGACGCGAAGCTGCGCTGGAAAGTCCATGTCAAAAAGAAAAGAGGGGAGCTTGATATTAGATATAAGAAATTGTATTGGCTGATTGGAAAAAATTCAACATTGTCAATTCATAATAAATTATCCATCTACAAGCAAGTACTGAGGCCAGTATGGGTATATGGGTGCCAACTCTGGGGCTGTACCAAAGCTAGTAATCTACTTATTATCCAGAGATTTCAAAATAAAGTACTGAGAAACATTGTTGATGCTCCTTGGTATATCCGTAACAGCAACCTCCACCAGGACCTGGGTATGGAAACTGTGATCGAAATAATCAAGAGAACAGCAGCAAGTCACGAGCAGAGGCTGCATAGTCATGTGAATGTCGAGGCAATCCAGCTTCTTGACAACACTGAACTAAAGAGAAGACTCATAAGGACAAAACCATTTGAGCTAGTGTAAATGTGTAACAGTTTAGTGTAAAAAGCAGAGTATAGTGCTGTGAAGTTATTGCATGCTAGTTGTAGTGCATTATTTAATAGATAAAATAAGAGTAAGCCATAGGGTAAACCCTTAGATTTAAGTATTTGCTGTTATTATGTTAGGTCAGAAAATAACTGATAATTGGTCATTTGTAACCAGATAGCAGTATACAAACACCGCGCATGTGTTAATAAAAAAAAAAATATTATTTATGCGAATATTTTACTGCTCTATTGGGTCTTATTGTAGATCTACAGAAAAAAATAAAAAGGTGGACAGAATACCTGAATGAATTATTTGAAGACGATAGAAACAACTTAACACAGATAATCAATGCGACTGGGCCAGACATATTGAAAGAACAAGTAGAATACGCAATAAGAAACGCTTAAAATGGAAAAGCAAATGAACTGATGAAA